ACAACATGCTTTCAACAATGACGGCAATGACACTATCCTACAACGAGACCGATTGGTCCGTCATTACTTTGAAGCAGGGTACAGCTACGATGAGGTTCTTTCAATTTTGGTCCTTCGTCATCGAATAACCATCAGGTATTGGCCAACTTTATTTGTATATGTTGACATGGATGACTTGAGTGTTGGCCTATAGCTGTAGTATTTGTGTATATGTACATGTATTAGTTAGACTTTGAACGGTTAGTATCGCTTTCCTCCAGCCCATGCGTGGAAATAACACTTGTGTATTGTTTTATAAAGATGGATATGTTTGTATTCCTTGTACTGTCAGCCTGAGAACGCTGCACCGAATTCTCCGCAAATTGAATCTTAGGAGAAGAAGTCCTGACGACTTGACACTGAACAGGTTCCTAATAAGTTTGCGGGTAAGGATAACAGAACGTCTTGAAATACGGTAGCAGTGAGAAAAGAGACACTTTAGGTTGAAATCTCGCCTTACATTTCTTTTGTATTTACGTTTCATTCAAGCAGTGGTTGTGTCAAGTACTTTCTGGATCCGCTATTATTGTACCAAATTAATTAAATATAACAATTTTACTCACTGAATATTCCTTTGTTGGGTTTCATTGCTCGTATGCCCGCAATCTTAATATCTGGTGCATGTCCTCTAATACTTTTTGTACGGCAGTGGGTTGTAAGCAGGTTTTGTGTAAAGTAATTTCTGTGTTCAAAAGTAGAGTTACATGATTTTATGTTGCAGTACTGTATATCATTTGCTAGAAGATGTTACGCATACAGTTGTGCTGGTTATCAACTGTAAATTATTTTAATCCTACGAACGTTTCAGTTCCCGATGCTTTTGGAAATACAAATAGGGCAACAAGATAATTGCTTTCTTATTTATTTAACGACTTTTTCTTCGTAGGCTGAATTACAAGGCAGTGGCCACAATCTGGGATGCCGGGCCATGGCAAGAAGAATGTTGTCACGCTATAGCATCATTGTTCCAAGGTAGACCGACAAGAATAAAACATTGTCAATTACTGACTCAATAAATTTCTTATCTAGTTTTCATCTGAATGTTTGTTACTCTTCTTGTTTTTAGACATCGTAAATTGTGTTATTTTTTTGGTAGGAGCGTCGTCCTTGAAGGGCAACGCATGCTAGACCCTGAAGGGGTAGAACTACGTGGAAGACATAGACTGAGGAGACGCTCCTATGTCAATGAAGGCCCGAATTACGCAATCCACGTCGATCAGCATGACAAGCTAAAGGTTTATGGATTTGCTTTGCATGGAGCCATAGATGGGTAAGAACATTGCCAGTAGTCATTAGGGCTATTAAATTCAATGTCCATTTTTCCTCAGGAGATGAGACTTGACGCTCACTAGAAAAGTGGCAACCAATTATCTGTGTTTAGTTTTGAAATAGAAAAATTACAAATGCAACCCATCTTAGCAAAATTGTCCCCATTCAACAATCTCTATATTAAAATACATGAGCATATCAAGTGTTATTTCATATATTGTACAAATTGTTATTTATTGTTAAACTGCGTCAGCCATTTCATTCAATNGTGGCAACCCTCAACTTTCGCGGGCACTATGACCATTTTTCAACCGTAGTTTTTAGCCCTTCTGCTCTCATATGAAAGCTCAAAGACCCAGGGAGTTGATCCTGGCAACAATTTACACAATCTCACCATTTTGGGGGGTACAATCTCCTTTTTCAAAAGATAATGGGGGGGGGGCACTTTTAATGCTAATGAGCTGCGGGTCAAAAATTCTCACTTGAATTAGTGGTCTGCACCCCTAAGTGTACGTCTCATTTCTGGTTGCATATGCAGAGAGGTATTGGGTCCTGTGCATGACCTGATGATTCTGTTATTTGTGCTACCCCTGTGATGGTCGGCGATCGCATGTTCCCATGCTCAAAAATAGCCCCAGATATCGTATCACCATCACACAAGCTCTCGCACTCGGAGCGTTCATTATGGGGGCCATTTTGTGTTAGATCGTTGGATATTGAATGGGGTCAAGGTCATAGACGTATGCATATAACAATTTTCACTCAAAAAGACGGTCGTTGGTGTAACCATTGCTTTGAATCTTCCAGGAAAATTGTCTTCCACAATTTCCACATTGTTCCTTTCACTTTCATGTGTCAAATGTAAACATGTTGAACTGTTTGATGTTTCTTCTCATTGCCAGTCCATGCATCTTGTCTTCAGTTGCAATAATTTAATTTTTTTCCCTTCCCAGTTTAGAACTGTTGATCATCATGGCCAGCAAAGAGGGCATGCAGAGATGGACAGGACGTGTTGCCTTGGTGACAGGAGCCTCTTCTGGTATTGGTCAAGCCACAGCGAGGGCGCTTGCAAGACATGGCATGAGAGTGGTTGGCTGTGCCAGGAACATCAAACCAATTGAGGTCAGGCAGTGGCACTGGTATTAAGATACTTTTGATGGGTCTTCTTAGCCGTGTTGGAGTAGAGTCCACGACGTCCGAGGCCAAGTCCTGGGTCTGATCGAGGCCAAGACCGAGTCACTGCCATTCAAGGCCGGGGCCACAGTTTCTGAGGCTAAGGCCAATACCAAGTGCAGTTCTTACACACTTTATTGTATAACATAACTCTGCATGATCAAAGGTGATTTTTCTCTACTGAACAGCACTGTTGGCCGGAAGCAAAATTCACCTAGATTCACAAAAAACGGTCGTGCAGGACAAGACAAGAACTTAGTTCTTGTAACCAAGTGCTATGTTACATGAATTAGTTGCTTTCAGTGTAACATCTTAAACAATGTGGTAAACAAATTCGAATGAAATTATCTCGTTCAGCTGGTGTTGCAAAGCTCAGTGTTTATATTCTTGCAACATAGTACAGCTAAGAGGATGGTCGAGTCCTCTCCCTCACACCACCAACCACGAACAGAAAAAAAAAATACAGAAGCTTTAATTGCCCTCAATAAATAAAATACAAAAAAGCTATCCTTTTTGTGCAATGATCGTCGCAAGTACAATGCGTTGTCACAATAAAATGTTTGGGGAAAAAGTAAAAGCGAGGAAACTGATTTCAAATGGGTACCCTCGAACTGGACTTCAACTCATTCTTCAAGTCCAGAGGGTGCCAAGGCCAAGGCTTTCAAAAATCGGCCTCAAGGTTATAGCCTCGAGGCCAAGGCCGGCCTCGAGGCCAAGGCCGGCCTCGAGACCTCCATCACTGATTCTTAGACTGTGTACATATACTCTGCAACTGTATCCTCTTCTTACACCAGATCTGTTGGTTTCGATGTCCGCCAAGCTCACGGGAGTGTGGCAGACAATGAACCCCTTGGGTTCTTGGGGTATACTCTTCTAAAATATACAAAAACTGTTTACATCCACGTTTGGAAAAATACGCTAAAATGCACATTTTTGTTGTTGCTATAGTTGTGATGTCATCCTGGGAAGGCATAGTTCAGTGCATAGTTTTTCTGTTCAAAATGCGAAACTAGAATTTACTCACTGAAAATATTTCTCAGAAAGGGTTGAATTGCTATGTGGCTAAACAGCAACAAATCACCCAGGAGAGAAACTGTAGTCAAGCAAAGTCTTTAAACAAGCAGGAGTCTTTCGTGTACAGACCAATGTAACATTGAGGCTCTCTTCCTGAGATTACATCACATTGCATCATTTGCTCATGAATATGAGAATACTCATCAGCATAAAAACCGAAAAGACCCTTGAAATAGAGAAACACAAATCAAAAAATGATATTAACTGAGACACATATAGGTGCATTTCCTAGGTTTGTTTTCAAATCATTCCATTTCCTTTTAAGGAAATTTTCAAGATCCACTACCAGCATTTTGTCAGGAAATTGTGGAGATTTTAATTAGTTGGCTAAAAAAAGAAGACATGAAAGTATTAAGTTGCCTGCTGTCCAGTTGGCAAGTACTGCACTTATCAGGCTAAGTTTAACCTGAGTGTCTTCTGTGTTCAGTGGAATCCTGGGCTTATCTGCAATTGTAATCAAGCATCTATTACATAAAGACTTGGCCAAGTAGGGAATTCTATACAGTACTTACTACAAGGAAATCCTTGAATTTGTCCTACTTCTAAATATCTAGGATGATGCTCAGATGTTATCGGGAGACAGCACTGTCACCGGCTCCCTGCATGCAATCAAATGCAACTTGATGCAAGAGGATGAAATCCTAGCGATGTTTGCCAAGATCAGGGAGACGTTTGGCGGTGTGGACGTCTGTATAAGTAATGCAGGATTCAGTGATTCTGGTTCACTTAGTTCACAGTTGACCGTACTGAATGGAGATGCGGCAAAATGGCGAGGAATATTTGATGTGAGTATTCGTTGAAACTGGACCATCATTCAACTGATGTTTGTAGGCATGTAGAAAAGATATTCCTTTTCACTCATAAGAACTTTCCTGGTTGAAGTTTTTTTTATCCAGAGCTAGTTCTCTCTCCTCAGGTTTTTAAGTCCTTCATTATCATTCAATCTTTGAGAACAGAAATGGTTGTAATCCCACCACTTTGGTCCTTCATTACCCTTTCATTTCCCTGTGTAATGACAGGTGAATGTTTTGGCTGTCGCTCTTTGCTGTCGAGAGGCCGTGAGACAAATGGAGGAGAAGGGAGCAACAGATGGTCAGCTGTTGGTGACCAACAGGTAGAGTGGACATTGGTGTATCGAGATCTGCGTGGACCGAGCAGAAGCACCTCCTCAGATCATTTGTTGAAAAGAGCCATGTTGGAGGGGAGTGTTGATGTCGGTAGGCACACAATTATAACAAGTGCATTTCATAGTTGTTTGTGAGCCAGCAAAATGTAGTTCCCACCAAAAGAGCCTACGTTGCTGTGAAAATTGCGCCCTCTCTTGGTCCCACTCAGGACATGTCTCACTGATTGTAGCTCATTGGAAGACTTCTGGATCTGTTTTGAATTTCTCAAGGACTTCATCGTTAACCTACTTTCAGAAACCACATTTTGATTTCAGTTTTTGTATTCGCACCACATTTTCAGTTCTGCGAGTTTGGATAACCTCTTGTGGAACATATTCACAAGAGCATACATCGTTATGCTCGCAAAACTTCCCTGCACAAATGACGGCAGTTGTCTTTTCATTTGCAGCATGTCTGGCCATCGATTAACCCCAAAAGTCAACTTGTTTCATGCCATCACCAAGCATGCTGTGAGTGTCCTGGTGGAAGGTATCCGACGGGAGTTGAGGGAGAAGAAAAGCCACATAAGAATTGCAGTAAGCCCCGACTTCAATCCTTGAAAAAAATCGTCCAATTTGAACAATTGCTCTACGTAGATTACATCAGCTACCCTTCCCTACTTTTTCACACTGTTACATTATTTTCAGCCATGACTTTTGGACTTCTTACAGCAAATCTCACCTGGGATAGTAGATACAAGATCTCAAGAACGCATGCAAGCTGGCTTTTATCCCGAAGAGGTCAATGCTTTTTACAAAACGTTGGAGGTAAGCTGCTTTCTTTGAAATGTTGACCACCGTCCAAATGGAATCGTAGAGGTGAAAAAGTTATGGACACCCAATTAATCTCCACAGAATAAAGCTCTCGGTTAAGTGTGCTCTCTTGAAAACTCTCCATTATCATTAGGTCATCTACCTGCTCACAGTTGTTTGGAATAGCAATTACTTTGCCACTGTCCGGTTCACCTCACCTATGTGGTGGAGATGAAGTGTGGGATATCTCACCTCCATCTTTTTGAACTTCAACTGTGCATGTAGTTTGTGAGCCATCACTATTTAAACATTTTACCATGGGCTTGAATGGAAAGAAAAGAGGCCAAGTACACGTTTTCTACATCCCCCTTTTTTCCAGAACCTGACTTCCCAAAAAGTTGATTAGGGCAGAATTTCGGTTTTAGCATCTGGAACATTACAAAAATGTTTGGCTGTCTTTGGCCTTCTCTTAAATGGTAAAAGACAGTTTGGATGTCTTTCTGTAAATGCCCTGGGGAGTTCTGTTGGTGTCCAGAGGTCACAGGTTCGAATCCTGCTTCGGTTATTCTGCATCCGTATTATTTCGCTGCAGTTAGCAACGTAAACATGCCTCCATGGAAAATGCAGTTTGTCACTTGGCAGCCTTGGAGTGGTACGGATACAGCATGGGACTTCTTTAAGATGGTTGGACTGCATGACGGAAATGTTTTCTTCATTTGTGTATGGCAGGCATTAAGACCTGAAGATATTGCTGATAATATGCTCCATGTACTGCAAACGCCACCCCACGTTCAGGTATGTTCGCAACTATCTTGTCAAAAAAGTAGCATTAACTTTGTCTTGAAAAGCTTCCATCACTGCATATTTCTAATGGAGCAGGTGTAGCAAGTGAACGAAAGTTAACTGTACTTTTGCTGGCTGAAGCATCTAAACAATCATTGTGCGTTTTCATGACAGGTGCATGATATCCTTATCAGACCAACGGAGCAGTCCTTTTGAGAGCACACAGGTGATCAAACTGAAGAACTGAACTTCCCAGGGCCACTTCACCCATTTGTGTGTGGTTTTCCAGGTTCTTAGAGAATCAAATATGCACATTTCTATTTCATATTCGGCTGTGCAAATGCCACTTTTTGAACTTCATTTTCACACGTTAATTTTAAAAAATGAAATTTTGTACTGGTGGAGCCTAAAGAGGTTATTTTTAGAAGACTTATTATGCTACCTCCAACTGAAAATCCTAATCTATGCACATGTATAAAGGCCATCTTGAAAGTTGGCAATCATACAAGTTGATACAAGGAAATAGCAATGCAGTTGAATATTTGTACAGGAATTTTTCGGAATTGTCCATCTTGTAGTTGGTTACAGTAGTTAGACTGTCAGTGCTCCAAGGTCACATCCCCGCCAATATATGCAATACATGTACTTTATTGCTTTGGCACTCTCAAAGTCTTAATTGCTATGCATAATGTTCATACCATCATAGATAATGTATCAAGGCTGAGCTTTTCCATGAAAATGACTGAAATATATTTATTTTTTGGATGTGTCAAACTCTACATAACGGATTAGTGCTCTATTTAATGTACCATGAGGAATTTAATTCAAGTATTGTGAAGCACTTTGAGTTTATTGTTTTAATGCTACTGAATGTTTTTAGTTTTCCCATTAAATGGGATAACTTCAAGACAAATTTGCATTTCTTTAGTGCAAAGAAAAAAGGTAAACTTTAATAGCTTTTTCTGAAACCTTTTCAAAATTGTCATCATAAAAGTCTCCCTAGTTACCGTCCTCTGAGTTTATGCAAAGAACGTTGCACTGACAGGGAGGGAGTTACACTACAGATAAATTACATTTCGTTTGTGAAGGCTTGCAATATTTTCCTGCCCAAATTGAATTACTGACAACCAAAATTGGAACGTCATTTTCATAATGAAGGCATAATAACACTAGACAGCAATACTAACCTACCAAGTAAACAAGCACAGGTGATCAAAATTTTAAAAAAATAGATTTTACAATGATTCTTTTTTTGTGATGATTTTAATACTGCAACACCCGTGTTCTGATGCTTTGTAATACATTATTCTTTCATTTTCCTTGAAAATAAAACCAGTGTTTCAATGAAATGGAATTTTGCTTTAGCTGACATTTGATACATTTTAATGTTTTAATATTTCTTTTTTCTTTTAGAACTCTAAAGTGCAGTTTTGACATTAAGTGAGGCTCCAAATAGCATTTAAAGTACTGAGTGAAGTAACATTAAACTACGTGTATTGAAATGCAATATGCACCAATCAATTAATGTGATTTCATTTACCCTGAAATCCTCCCTTACGTCGCAGATACATCAAAATCCACAAAGAGATAGTGGATGATACATAAGGGTTTGTAAACGAAAGCGTAACAGAAAATTACCAAAATCTGTATAAAGCTGTTGCAATAATTTTGAACTTGTTTTTCAGCAGTGACCCCTTTGGGTCAGTTACATTTTCCTCTGCTGATTGCTGACAACCCTGGAGCTATTATTTTCCTCGTCACTTTAGTCTTCTATTTTCTGTTAAGGAATTCTGAGCAAATTCACAACTGACAATCAATATGTGTGAACAGTGACAGCCTTCTTATGCATGCATCCGTGCAAAAGATGAAGGGGTGAGAAACGCACAGAGAACTGGAACAATTATGACCCTTGTTGAAACTGGAGACAAAGTAGGAACTTTTTGCACTAAAAACAGTTCAATGCTGAAGCTTTGGTTTGGTCTAGAAGCATATGCATCGTGTATATTTCACAAGTTTAAAGCCCCATATACCCTTAAGTGACACAGAAAAAAATATTAAAACTACTTTCAATGTCACATTTCCTTTGCAAAATTAAACCTTGACTGTAATAATATGCAGTAATCATAAACATGACTTGATTAGGCCCTATGTATTGCAAGCAATATGCTTCAACCTAGAAAAATAATGTATGTGTTGAAAGAAGCCAAATAAATAACTCTTTAACTTTTTAACATCTATAATGAAATTCAAAGCAGAATTCGCAGCTTCATCAAACGTCTACAATTGGAATCTCCATTTTCAAAAATTTAGTACTTTAAAGAAAGTTCCAAAGTGCGAGACAAGCACCTGCTATATGTTTTAATAACATCAGCATTGCTAAAATGTCCTTACAATTTCTCCATTAAAATTCATTTTATAATGAGACCACAACCAACCCATTTAATCAGGAGTTTCATTTCAAACTTCTTTTCAAGAAATTTAGTTTTATTATAAAAGTGAGTTTCTTTTTAATCATACTTTCTGGTCAGTTGCCCTTATAAGGATGTCATGTACCTGTGATACAAAAACAGAGAATATAAAATATCGATTAAAGAAACTGTGCATTTCTTCCTTGAACAAATGAAAACTGTACACGGATTAGTCACCAGCCAAGAAGCCAAGATTCCGGAAAGGTGGCAGGAAAGTTGACCTTTAGTGCTTCAACAAGGGAGTCACTTGACTCTGAAGGAGCAGGGTGGAACTACCCCCCTCAACATTTTCTACGATCAGGGGCGGATCCAGGATTTTCCAAAAGCGGGGGGGGTGAACAAAAAGTTTTAGTGTCTTGGCCATAAAATGAGGGGGGTTGGGTAATCGGAAGCGAAACACTAGTTTTGTTATACCATGGGGCAGGGTCCCTCCCTCTTTTTTCTTCCCACTCCATCTTTTTCTTTCATGTTTATTTATTTATTTATTTATTTTGCAAAAAAGGAATATGCCCCCACGTGCCCCCCCCCCCATCCACCCCTGATGATATCATTGCAAAGCATTTTTCCCCTTTTTACTTTTCTAGTGATGTCTGGCACCACTTTATGAAAATTAGACCTATCATTCTCACTGCATTCCTCTTCCAAGATAGTTCAACCAAAATGGCAGCCTTGTCCTATGTGCCCAGTGCACCCGAGCAAGCACAAGTAAGCATGAGCAAAGTTTAAATGGCCACAGTTAACCCCGACGAGAAAACCCTAAATTGAATTGAAATGACACTTCACTGTTATTGACCAATAAACGAATGTCTTGACATACCTGCCATGTTTATAAAAAAAACGGACATGTGACAGACAAGATCTTTGCCCCTCAACCTTGAAAAGGAACTTAAAAACAATATAAAATTCTACACCACATCTGAAATATAACATCTGCTTGTATGTTTAAAAACATCTCTGTCTACATGTCCATAGATCAACCGCACGATCCAGAAACTGACACAGAAGACAGAAATATCAACTCCATGACAAGAAAGTTGGTTGCCTACCTGAACATGGGGTGGAGCCTGCAGTACGTACAGCATACTTTCCACAACATCCTCGGAAGACAGTGGCTGTCGAACCAAAGATAAAAACACTTAGCAAGAAGGCTTCAAACCTGTAACTGCTGGAATTCTGTGCTGATGGTTCACTAACTTCCAAGTACTGTAATGGGAACTTTGGCAATGCGACAAGGGTAAACATGTACGTGTAAATGGATGCACAAGATGTAATTTCCTTGGGAACATTTTTGTTGCACTATTACACCGAGGGCTTAACAGGAAGACTGTTTATTTGGGGCTTATCTGTTCAAAATGTAAACCTAAAAATTCCTTCAGGGAAATCACTCAGCTCTCCTGCCTGTGCATGCCTCTCCCTTCCCGAAGACGAGGTCATCATAATTGTTGAGACGCAGCAGAAAAGGAAAAAAAAGCAAACAGCAAACAGAGCCAAATTGTTGCTGCAGAAAACAGCACCAACAAATTGTAAGTGGTTGTTCAAAATATTGGTGAATTAAGGCAGGAACAGAACAAAACATATGTGTCCGCTGGGCGTAGCTGGATCGAATTTGAAATCCACTAATGCGGCAGCTTTACCCTACAGGAAAACTTTCCAAACGCCCAAGAATGTCCGCTATGCAACTCGACGAAAGTGTGGTACACAGAACATTCTAATTCAGTGTGTAAAATTTGTGGCAGTGCTGTGACAACTAAAAAAATTTACAAGGCTGCAAGAGGGCCCTCGGCTAAAAGTATTCTTGCTATGCAACGCACAGCATGGACAAAGTTTTTCCGATATCCCAAAGGCGATTTCAGCTTGCGTATTCCTTTCGTGCTTTTCTTTACTCATGTGAATCTTAATGTCATTTGCTCCTCCGGCCGAGATCCGCAAATCGCATCGGCAAATCTTGCAGAATACGAAAAAATGACATCGTTATGAATTGGAACTGCGCTTTGTATTCGTCCCTAGATCTTTGCAAGCTTTTTTGTTTTTTTATTGTCTTTTTTCTATTTTGTTGGAAATCGGAAGTTTCGAGTTTTTGTGGTCTGTAAACTCAGGACAATTCCGGAACGGAATGTATTCTTAGCAAGTGCGTGAATGATTGGAAGGTAGAGATAGTTTTGAATATAATTTACCTTGAGCGTTTTATAAAATTGACGGCAGGTTGCAGGATCGTCATTTGGATAACTTCTTTCTCGAAATGCCGTCTCCACTAAGCCAGGTGAGACTTGCTGGAAAGATAAGACATCCAAAGTTACAGCTATTGCAAATCAGTAACAACCGATGGATGCCAAGAACACAAAAGAAAGGAACTATAAGATGAACCTTACTGCGATTCGTATACGACTCTGCTTCTCTTTGAGTTCCCGTCGGACAGCTTCAACCAAGGCAGTCACTGCATGCTTGGTGATGGCGTAAAAATGACTGGTTTTAGAAGTCAATCGGTGACCAGACATGCTGCAAAAGACAAATGACGTTCAACAACTCAAAGTGACTTCTTGCACACGTCTTGCGATGGCCCTCGAAAAAAATTTAATCCCTATTCCTTCAGCTTATTCAGGATCCAGGGTTTGGAAGATTTTAATGAATAGAAAATTTCAAGCCCAGGCCCAGTCACTGTTGAGAGTTGAGGAATGTGTCAATAGGTTCTTGCATGCAATAAATTTTGGAGGGTTTTGGAAGTCAAAGATTGCCAAAAGAATCAGGCTTACTTGAAGTGTGCTGCTTACTATTAACCCTAACAGAGCTGGAGGTGGAAAACTTCACCCAGGTGCATTTTGACCTGTGTCACAGATTTCTTTTGCCTTGTTAAACTTCCAAGAGTTTCCCCACTGACAGTTTAACCCTACCCCTCAGGGTGTATGTAAAACCATACTGAAATGGGAGAATTTAGGACTGTTCAGGCTACTGTAATTCAGTTTGTTTTGTCATGTTGGCCACTCGAGGGACGAGGCCACATACTGGGGCTTTATATACCCTTTTGGTGCAAGGAAAATGAAATGGTCCAAAACAAAATCGCCTTGATCCACTTCTGAAGGGCTGCCCTGGCAATCAGAAACGAATCCTCCTTGAGCCAATGTCCACTCTACCTGTTGGTCACCAACAGCTGACCGTCTGTTGCTCCCTTCTCCTCCATTTGTTTCACAGCCTCTCGACAGCAAATAGCCACAGCTAAAAAATTCACCTGTCATGAAAACAAATAGAGACGTTCTGAAAACAGCCTGCCATGGGCCATATTTTTTTGAAGTTGGGTCACTGATGAAATACCACATCGGTTAATGAAAACCTTTACGGAATGAAGTCACACAGCTGTGTCCTTGTAATATATTTATGTAATTGGATGGGAGAGTTTAATTCTGCCGTCATAATGTGAACACTGGGGTACACATCTCTTCAATGGGGGACCTGTACGAGGACTCACATCTAGCATGTCTCGCCATTTAGCAGTCACTCCACTCAGCACGCCCTCAGGTGAAGCCAGTGAGCCTGAATAGTTCATTCCGGCATTGTTCACGCACACGTCCACACCCCCAAATTTCTCCTTAATCTGGGCAAACACTGCCAGGATGTCATCCTCTTGTGTCAGGTCGCACTTGATGGCATGTAGGGAGCCGGTGACAGTGCTGTCTGCCAATAAAACCTGGGCATCATCCTGAGAAGAGAGGGGATATGCCGGCACTTGTAGGGTCCAGTAGTGACTTTGAGTTTGTCTCAAAAGTTTAAAACTCTTATAAATTGTTCGCTATGATATAAATTACCGAGTATCGGAGTGAAGACGTCACACTCACACAACACCCATAAACGGCATTGGGGCAAGAACCAGTGCGTGAATTAACACGTGCACTCCATTTGTTTGTAAAGTACTTCCTGGCTCTAAATGACATCACAATTCGGTACTCTATCCAGTTCGTGAGTGACTTTGTCACAAAGGCGGACGCGCCACCATTTGCAGGTTCCCGTTGGACGATCGCTGAAGCTGCGTGTTAACTTCCGGTTCCATGGTTCCATGTAAAGGGCAATCAATGCACGTAACTCTACGTGCAGGGCATGTGCAATGGGCGTGGTTTTAACTGAAGTGACATCACACTTACGAACCGGATACATCAAACAACATCAAAATACTTTGTGACTGTAAAGTGTCTCCAAGACAGGCCATCACTGCACTCAGGAAGCGTTTGGTTAGAAACTATGTGTAAAACAAACAGTGAGACATATTCATATAAAATTACAGTGAATTCTTCACTGAATAGCATGTGTGGTGGTCAAATAATGCCAATCTAGTACTAGCTGGCTCTAGTTTTTTGGGTCATTAACAAAGCTTTGAAGGTTTATTGCAAAACTTTACTACCTATTGCTACCCATAACAATGGAAGATGTTAGTCGGGTGTCACACTGATCATTGAGAACACTTTACAGCCTAAGGTGCAGGCACTGAAGGCAAATGATGTGTGGTTTGTACAAGATTTCAAATGCTCTAACCCAAGTGCTCAATAGAAATTACATTTGTGTTTGCCTTTCCCTGCAGGTGTCCTGTAAGGGCTGGTTGGAAGCAGGGGAAAATTTCGGGGGGGGGGGGGGGGGAGAGAAAAAGCACTTGTCACGCATCAGCTACGGACTGATAAACTATCAACTGGGGGAGGCGGGGGCAATTTACGGCTTTTCTTTNTAAACCATCAACTGGGGGAGGCGGGGTCAATTTACGGCTTTTCTTCAAACAAATTAGTGATTTTCATTATGTTTCATCTGTTTTTTTGGGGGGGTTCATTTATACTTTCCCCATTTTTTCTCTTTTTTTTTTGGAGGTGGGCCGAGCACTCCCCTTCCCCTTCACGATGCCAATGGAATGGTGCCCATGTCACAAACATGACAAAAGGGGACCAAACTAGAGTCACAGTGAAATTTGGTTTCACCGCCAATGCTCCTGACCTCAATTGGCTTGATGTTCCTGGCACAGCCAATTACTCTCATGCCGTGTCTTGCAAGTGCCCTCGCTGTGGCTTGACCAATACCAGAAGAGGCACCTGTTACCAAGGCAACACGTCCAGCCCATCTCTGCATACCCCCTGCAACACTGCTGGCCATGATGATGTGACGACTACCAGTTCTGAAATGTAACATTGAAAACATCAGGCCTACCCCATATCATGTAAGGGCTTAGGCCTACATGGTTCAGTGTCGGGAGTAGGGCTATAACTTAAGGTACCCCCACAATTAAACTAGTCCGACGTCCACCGTGGGAGCGGGGCGGACGTCGGACCCTGCCCGCAGTTCTGGGCAGTGGTATAGCCTATACCATGGGCTTACAATACAAGGACCAAAAGATTTTGAGTGGAATTAACGTTCTCAACCTTCTTCATCCAATCCAATCCAACAAATTAGAAATCTGTGTACTCTAACTCGGCACGAAAATTTCACAAACCGAAATCGGGCACAAACAGCTGGTTGAACCACGCATCGAGTGGGCACAGGCCTGACAGTCGGCCGATCAGGCGAAAGTGCAATTGCACAGCATTGTTAAAGGGTCCGGGTAGACATACCATGCAGATGTACATGACATATACCGTGCCGGGCCGTAGATGAGGCGCCCTCTTCAGTCACAACTTTAAGTGAAAAAAAAAGGTTTGGTGCTGACAACATGATTCTACGGAGGCGTATTTAGAGCAAACATTTTGAGCATGACCCCTGATCATTTAGAGTATATACTTGATAATTTTGAATCATCTTCTTTCAAAGCTGTTTCCTTTAATTTTCTTGGTTCGGTTGCTGCTTTGTTGGGCAACATGTTAGGTTTCTTTATCTGATGGTCCCAACAGTGTCATTATCACAGGCTCGCCTTTTCCTGAAGCATAGTAATTTTGACCTCGTCCAACAGATTGGAAATTGCCGGAAATCACTTTTGTAGCAGGCCTCGATCGAGTTCTTGAGTCGTCTTAGTTCATTCGTCGGAGTCACACAGTCGAAAAAGTAACTCACATATGGCAATGCACAGTATCTACATGTATAGCAAGCTCTTTCATCGCAACAGACAAGTTAGATTAAGGGTAATGATCTTTATTGACAGAGTGAATCATAAACGATGTAGGCCTGTAATTTGGTTGAACGACCTGTTGCTCCTGCACGTGGCATATGCCTACTCATTATTTAGTAGTTGGGTTGCTGCGTAATGAGATTGATTGATTCAAGTACATTCTCAATGAGGACTTTACTGTGTTATGATTTTGGTGGAAATGAAAATGAATTAGCACTTCATAAAACTGGTAGGCCTATGTTTTACGTTTCATAAAGAATATTGCCCCGGTCTCGTTAGATTGTACTGGTTCTGCCGGAGCATGATACTATGAACATCGGATTTGAAAGCGTCACTAGCGAATACGAGCAACAACTGAGAGAGCAGAGTTCATTCACATATTCTGGAAACACCAACGCTGTAACGCACACTTTGCTGCCTTGAATCGAGCGTTCAACTTTCGATTAAAGTATAGTTAGCGATCCGCAGGTCCATTTATTTGGCCAACTCGCAACTTCAATAAGCAGTCGTTGGTTGTAGATAGGCCAGAACTTGGAGGGTATCAAGTTGAACCATTCGGAACTCGCTGGAGAGAGCTTTACTGTCAGAATCCTGGCGACAGAGGGCGTATTTCCATTTCTACTCAACAGTACTACACTTTAATCTCTGAGTGTTCTAGCCTCTACTATTGAAAGGCTTTCAATTTTTAATGTTGACATGATTGCAAAACAAAAATTAAAAATGATACGAAATTGCATACATAACTGACTTCTAGACTACTTAGAAATTTCAGAAATAAAAATTATGGGTAGCTTCTACCGTAATTTAATTACTTTGCACCACAGTTGAATGCCCAAGTATAAAGTTACTGTTACACAATGTATGGCTGCAGAAATCAATACTGGAAGTAGAGCTGGCTTCGTGTTTGTTTAGGTTACAAACACGGGCGATATTAATTCGATGGCATCTCAGAGTTTTGATGTATATAAAGGAACCTGTTATTTGTTTCAGAATAACATCTGTTATGTGAGCTAAATGTGACCTGTTGTATAGTTTGTTGTTTGTGAAGAGTGCATCCTTTGGACATTGTCAAGTTGCACATAAACACATCAACACGAGGCACACCTGTGACACATCCCTGCCTATATGAAAAAGGACGAATCCAGACCCATTTTGGGGGCAAAAAAGGCAGGCCCCCTAGCAACTTGAAAATTTAAGGACAAGGCAACGGGCTTTTTGCTCTTAGCTCTAAAGCTTCGTGTATTAAGGCAAGATTTGTTTGTAAAAATATGAACACAAATAATGGATGCAGACGGTGGGTTGAATGAGTATTTTATGATTAATATTGATTGATTTATAAAAAAAATTCATCCTCGGGTTTTTTGGGGGAGGGGGCATGGCCCCGTTTCCCCCAGATCCGTCCTTGCCTATAAACTTTACTTTCAGTCAGAAGTTGTAGTTCTGCAGGTATTGGCCAGTCACTAGCGGACCTTTCGGTTAAGGTCAACTGACACAGAGCTGCATTGACATATTGCTATGATATTGTTATTATTTCATATTTATTAATTCCTAAGAGATGTCTGGTTTATGCTTTGAACGAAAGCGAATACAAACTGGGAGAATTTGTGACGTCAGATCACTCGCGCTGTGATCGCCCAAGTTCAAGTCGAGGGTTATTTTGCTGCAAATATTTTTGTGATACCTCGAAACGTTAAGTACCCTCCGGTTCTTTTCACAACCAAAGAGATATCCTTGCATGGTGCTTCCGCAAACGTTTTGCTTAATGAGTCAAGGTAACTGTGAATATCAAGTTCAAGTGAGTTTCATTGACATCATGTTGACTAAAAGTTGAACTGCATCCTTTCTACGTCTGAGTGAATGTTTTGTTGTTCAGGGTACTAGTATTCAAAAAGTCTGCGTCAAAGAAACTCCTCCTAAAGCAAGCCCTTAGGCAGCCAGAACAGGTATTCAGTGACGCTTAGGCCTACTCCTCCGCCCCGCCCACCGCTCAGAAAATCGAGAAGAAAGAATATGGTGATAGTCCGCCATGGCCAGGGTTTTAAATGTGACCTTACCCACGGAGCACCCCCCTCCAAAGAAAATGAGGACCCCAAGTTTCCCCTTTGTAAATTACTCTTTTAAGCCACTGCGTGTCGGGTAATAGTTCCGACGAGTTTGCTCGTGTGTAAGTATCAAAACAGGGCTGTAAACCCCCAATAGCAGTGGCAGATGGATGTTGTTCTTAAACGTTCTTATAACGTCAGGCGACGACCAAGCAAACATTGAAAAAAAAAACACGCAATATGTGACTTCTTTTTGCCGGCATTTTGCACCAGAGGCCAACCTCAACACGACGTTAGTATATGCAAAACTACATTCACAAAGCAAAACATTTGTGAAAAAATAATCAAATGCCTGCAAAAAACTAACGAGAAAAGGCAACTGGGAAATGAACAAACACCCCTTGAATTCCTGTTGACATGCAAATTAAGGTCAAAGTTTACAAGTGCAAAACAATATTTTGGTAATTGCAAAGCATTTCACAAACGCACACAAATATGTGTAACAAACGTCGTTTCCAGTAGATTAGGCCCACTGTCTCAATATTACACATTTTACAGTGCAGATGTAAGTCACACCATAGACTACATACCGACGCGTCAGAACACACGATGGACCAATTAACGTCAGATATTGACCATATTCGGACAAAAGTTCAACATCCAAAGGTTGACTTCAAAACGACGTCAATTTTGATCAGAAATAGACGTCGAGCCGACCAACTCTGCGACGCAAATAATTTGCAGATGTACGTCATTAGCCAACGCGGGCCGCAACGTCTGATCACCGAAAGTGCGTGCGGCGACGTGCTTAGAAGTTGGCGACCGTTGCCGACGCTTGGCCAACATCGGTCTGCCGCCTGGGAATTTACCTGACATTTCGGTAAAAACGTTTGGGCAATTTTTTCACACAATTTAGCGGAAAAAACAACAAAGTTCCGATATAAAATGACTGAAGTTACTTTTGCTTTAGAAATTATATAGAATGTTATTCAATTTTCTGGCATATTTATTTTTATAAAACTATTAGGAGATGGGTTACTCAGCCAAAAAGTAAATCAATACATGAACAAGAAAGTACACCAAAATATGTATCATTGTAATTTTACTCTCAATGACACAAATTTACCTGTAATCACAATCAAGTTTCAATATGCATAATAACTCAAACAAGTTTTTTTTTCTGTATAGCCCAGTAGTAACTGGCAATCACAAATGGCACATAGACTGAAGAAAAGGTTGACCTTCTGATATAGAACCCGGCCCCGCCCCGGCCGAGCTTTTATTTTTGTTCCTTCCTTTATTGTTGAATGAACGCGGACAATAAAATTTGTTGCCGTGCAGTTTTTTATTTTACATGTTTCCCCGAACCCATCTCCCCATTTCAACGCACTGAAGTTCACCCAACAGGCCCGCGATGGACACGAGTGCAGAACTCGACGCGAACGGCTGGTTCACCGTGTTGACTTCCTTCAGTAACGTGGTGCTCTGGGGCGGAATTTATAAAAGTCTGGGTGTGCTTCTACCAACATTAACAGAACAGTTCACCGACCACACTTGGCTGACTGGAGTGGCTATATCATTCATGGGACTGGCGGCAGACATATCAGGTGTGTATGGTGGCCCTGGAGGGACATCGCCAATCGTCAATATTGACGGCAATATTTGTGACCAGAGAGCGAGTCGTGAATTTTGTCGCAAATATTGACGTCAATATTGACGATTGGTGCTGTAGGGTCCCTCCAGGGCCACCATAGGTACGGGAATACCTTGCGGTGTTTGTGGCACAAGGCCTGTAAGAGCAGCAAAGGTTGAGTGACCTATGTGCAAATACGCCTCCACGCTGGCTTCGAGGTAGAGTTGAGTGTGTACGGTAGTACCCTGTGGATGGTTGCACGTCTACGGGGCTGTGGTCGCGACTGCAGACATTGCAGATCAGGCGCTTTAAGTTAAAGAAGGAACGAATTCACATAAACGTATTGCCTATAAACTGTATTTACCACAAACACTGTAAACAAAATAAAACAAAACAAAGACAAGAAACTGGGGGATATGCACCCAAAGTTCAAATTATCAACTGTCCACGCTTTGTGGCTTTGATTGCCCAACGGCTGGGGACTAGTAATGGCCCCCAAATTGACGAACAGTTTGTAATCAAAGACCAATTATTGTTGGATGAACTTTGAACCCAACTTTTTTTGAGCAGCCTAAGCTAATAGGGGCGATTCACAATAGGGTGCCTCCAAGAGTTTGCAACGCATTGAACAATCACAGAGCGCGAAATCCGTGATTGGCCACAGGGTTGCAATCTCAGTTGGAGGCGCACTGTTGACAGACGCCCGTATTCGCGTATTATGTCCACCCAAACGAAAAGCGTTCATATTGTAAGGACTTTACAATGAGAGTCGTGATGACGTCATCAAGCATGATGATTTTTTTTAATTACGAGTAGGCAAACTGTGATTCACTATGAAAGTGGTGGGTAGGTGCAGCTTATACTGGGGTAAAAGATAATGACATAAATTCTTAAATTTTGAGCATTTATCTCCTAAAGGGTCGGTTTCAAACTGAATGAATAAAATGACCAAGAGACAATTTAAATGGACTTGCCGCTAACAGTGTCCCCATGACAGTGAAGTCAAGATGAAGTCATCGGGTAAATATTACGATTTCAGTATTTCGAAGTCTGCAATGGCTTAACTTTAAGCTTCCACCTTGCAAGAGGGATGCAGAAGATACTTGCGGATATATATTTTTATATGTCGTATGTACGACTGCTGCATTATAATTCGTACGTACAAGTTATATCCCACACGAGCGGATACATGTCGTACGTACGACTTATACGTACGCACGAGATATCAGTTTTAAGTACGATTGAACTTATACAGGGTGTCCCCAAAAAAAACAAACCCCGAGGAAAGGTGTTAATATGCCCGAACCATGAGATATGATTATAATGTATGAGGATCTCCGAAAAGTAGAAGCAGTATTCTTTCTAATCTCAGTTGTAACACTTTGGATAAACCAGTGTGTGAATGAGGTTGTCCCACGGACGTACATAAAAAACCTGGACTTGCAACGCCCTTGTATGAAGAAGAAGCCAACCAGCGGCCATTTTACCGAGCCGAATACCAATGCGTGGGTTGGTTCCCTTCTATTGACGTCAGGAAGAACAAAGGCGGGCACTGCCAGGAAAGCTTTGTATTCGGCTCGGTAAAACGGCCGCGAGTGGATTCCATGATCTCTATAAGCTGATTAAGGGCATTGCGAGTCCAGATTTTATTATACACGTCCGTGGGTTGTCCTCTCAGTCATGCATGTCCTGGTTGAAAGTGACAACAAAAGGTCATGTAAATGAGGAAGGATTGCCTTTTGTCACTTTCAAGTTATGCAATAATATGGTTTAAATGTGTTGACTTGCCCCGAGGTGGGCCAGGGCAGCGTTGAAAAGTGTTCGAAGCAGGACAGCAAGTCTGCAACATGGTTCAACTTATATACCTAAGAGCAAAGAGTGTTTGTCGTGACGAAATTTCTTGAAAACAAGAGCTTTCAAGCCGCCCAAGCTGCATTTAGGGAAGCCTTCCTTGATAGGGATCCACCGGCAAAGTCGACCATCTGGGAAAATGTGCGCAAATACTGAGAACATGGGACAAGCCTTAATTCGAATAAGGGTTATTTGGGAAGGAGGCGCACAGTGCGAACTCCTAAAAACGTTGCTGCAGTTCGACAGCAACTTGTCGAACAGCAAAGGGGAACCAGTTGCAGGACGAATGGACTTGGACACGAACAAGGTGTCGTTGCATAATTAACTGTGAATTACGTAATGTGTAAATCGGTGTGCCCTGGTATCTTATCCAGGACAAGCATGACAGAGGACAACCTCATTCATTGGTTTATCCAAAGTGTTACAACTGAGTTCGGATGCCCCATTTTCAAGACAGTGGCGTTCAGTCATGCATGACAGGAGGGATACCATCAAGGTATCATTAGAAAGAATAGCCTACTGCTTCTACTTTTTGGAGATCCTTGTACATTATGATCATTATTAACCCCTTTCCCCGGGGTTTGGATTTTTCTGGGACACCCTGTATAGTCGTTCGTAGGAGTTAGCTCGAGGAGGAGAGAATTTGTTCACCATGTCCTACAGTATAACTTCGTACCGTTTAGAACGATCGAGAGTCATTCATCCAGACAACAGGAATGTGCAATTTCAAAGATTTCGAGGATTACAGGGTGAATTTTCTATTTCACATGCTATGAAACGTACAGGTCTGCTCACCACACTTCTTGAAGACAAGTTTGGACGTCGACGGATGTTAATACTGAGCACATTGACAGTCTGTGTGGGCTTGATGTTGGTCCCACTTGCCACAAGTATCGTGCACATCGCCATTGTTTTGGCCGTCGTGGTTGGTAAGAATTTGATCCCCCAAAAGATATATTCTGTTACAGGAAATCTGACTTTTACATAAAAACTAAAGCATGCTGATATGCATGTTGATATGCATCTACATGGCCGAGACAAAGTGTTGACACCACCATAGCGACAGGTGTCTTCTATAACTCCCTTCACTACATAAACTATACCGAGATGTATTTCAAAAGAAACAATATAACACAAAATGCCAAGTTAATTGATCGTTGAATTGAGACCTGTATATACCAAAAGCGTTCTCCAATATAAAACCTTCATTGGTAATGCATTTTTACATGAATATGCAAACAGAGTCACAGGTCTGTTTTCCCAAGGATAAATATATGGATTTATCGTTATTTTTCTACCTTTTACACTGCTTTAGGACCAGCCTTGGGCATTTCTTCTGTTCTCAGCAAGGTTCTTCTGGGACGTCACTTTAACAAGCGGTATACACTGGCCAGTGGAATAAGCCAAATGGGACAAGTGGTCTCTCTCCTTGCATTTGCACCAATGACGCAGCTATTCCTTGATACCTACGGATGGAGAGGAGCCGCCTTGCTCCTTGCTGGGGTCTGTTTGCACTCAGTAGTCTGTCCTGTGCTTGTCAAGGAAGAAAAAGAACGGTACGAGACACCACCCGACCAGCATGACCACAAAGAAACTAACAGCACAGGTATGACCCGCGTTAAATCTTTCTTTGCTCATGCGCTCTCAACTGTGGATCTGCGTATTCTTCGTGAGTTCAACTTCTGGATCGTGTTTACTTGTATTTGTGGGGCTCGTTTTCCCGGCAATGCTTGGTTTCTGTTCAACGTTTCTCATCTTCAAGCTAAGGGTTTCTCCCCCCAAACATCTGCCGCGCTCTGTTCAGCGGCGAGCGTTGGTTACCTCGTCGGTTGTGTGATGTTCTCACCTCTTGTGGACAGAGGCTTTCTGAAATGCTCGACGGGAGTATTGATAAGCAGCCTGCTTTTGACATTGTCACTTGCGATAGATCCATTCCTGCACGAAGCATGGAGTATTGCTGTGTTTACAGCTCTCTTTGGTCTGTCTTCATCAGCACTGTACGCCCTTACTGATGTTCTTACCAAAGAACTGTTAGGCCGGGAAAGACTAACCAGCGCCTTTGCGTGGATAGGAGCTCTAGGGGTGCCGGCAAAACTGCTTGCGGGGTTTTTGCCTGGTAAGTGTCAAAACAGTATCAACAACATTCGAATGAGCAAACAAACAACTAAACAAATAAATTCCTGCATGATCTGCCATTCAGTCTTGAAGAAAAAAATATTCGTCCAAGTTGGTAGCGCTGAAGCGTCCAAGTTGGTAGCTCTGAAGCGTCCAAGTTGGTAGCGCTGAAGCGTCCAAGTTGGTAGTGCTGAAGCGTCCAAGTTGGTAGCGCTGATGCGTCCAAGTTGGTAGCGCTGATGCTTCCAAGTTGGCATCGCTGATGCGTCCAAGTTGGTAGCGCTGATGCGTCCAAGTTGGTAGCGCTGATGCGTCCAAGTTGGTAGCGCTGATGCTTCCAAGTTGGTAGCGCTGATGCGTCCAAGTTGGTAGCGCTGATGCATCCAAGTTGGTAGCGCTGAAGCGTCCAATTTGGTAGCGCTGAATGCAACACCCATTGACCTTCAGTTGTCCAGCGTAAATGACAGCAGTGGCCTTTCAATTTTACTTCTGATCTTCTGCCTCCAAAAGATAAATATTTAATTAAGCTTCCTGTCTGTTCGAGCAGCCCCCTTTTTATAATTATACTCAGTACAGTGACCTTGCAGTTTTGATCCTCATCTTTCTGTCATGCAGCCAATACATGCAACAAAATATTTAAACGTAAGTTTGTTCTTTTTTTCACTTACGCCACCTCAGTCTTTTGACTTAATAAACAAGTCCGTTTAAGGGTAGCCGCAATCAATTTGTTTTTAATACAAACCTTCAAAATTCACCTATGCGGCTCAGCTAACCTTATTTTCAACTTTCTTTTCACTATTTCAAAGGGTGTTTCACTGCCTTGTTAGTGTTTATGATAATGATACTTCCATATTCATGAGCAAAACTGTGATGTCATTTCACGAAAAAGCCTTAATGTTACATTTGTTGAACGCAAAGAGTCCTGTATTTTGTACCTTTTACTGGACTCGGTTTCCTCTTCTTTCCTGATTCATTGTTACTTATGTGAATAGCAGCAATAAGCAAGCAAAATCCCTCTCTCAGAAATGTTTCGAATATTCTGGATTCACAATTTGAACACAAACACCACCTATGTGCAGAACCCTGTCTTACCGAGACGAATTCACAGCAACAGCGTCCTTAGTGAACAGACGGGTAAATCAAAATGACCGAAATTTTAAGGCATGGAAGCAAAAAGAAAAATGATGCCGTTATACGTGTATTTGAGAATAAGTGATTGATGGGGGTGTCAATTCCGTCCACATCATCCGAGGGTCGAGTTCGGGCACCCTATTTTTGACACAGGTTTCTTGTTCTCACGCTCGAACGGCGGGAACACTGATCTGAACACTGTTCTCAGAACAGGATCACACTCCACCTCCTCGTCAGGGTTTTACGGGAACACCCGGAAAAACCCGTGAGATTTTGATTTTTGAACAGCTGCAAGAAGTAGAGAGATGGCTTCGAAAGCCAAAGACAATGGAAAGTTTTGCAAAATTAACATTCATTATTTTCCACAACACAGAAACTAATGTTCCTGTTTGAATAGAAAAGGATTCAGGGGCTCCTTACACGGGCCGGGCACCGCCAGTTGCATGTTGCTTGTCACTTACTACCAGCAATAACTGGTTGCTTGTTCCTGGCGTTCGAGCGGCCGACCCACGAACAACAAATCGAGCTGTCCGTGAACATACGCGAACTAGTCGCCCGAACTCATCCCTAGATAAGATCAGCCTATGAGCTTGAGCTTAACAAAGAGAGGGCGCAATTTTCCTAGTAACAGAGTCTCCTATGAAAATGCACACGTTACGGCCAGCTGCGCGTCGCTACCAGCAAAATGAACACTCCCGACGAACATGGATCTGATCAACTGATGAGGGGTGCTTCTGCTCAAGGTGAATAACGCTGTGACCTATAACACTTTGTATATTCTTCCAAAGGTTGGCTGTACGACTCGAGCGGCAGCTACGACTTGGCTTTCATCATCATGGGCGCTTCGCCAACTGTGGCTGCCATCCCCCTGGTCATCGGAAAATTTTGGAAAGAAATATGAAGATTATTGTGCCCAGATCAAAATAGGCACTGTGAAGTGCCATCCCATCTTACTATCCACCAAGAAGAGTACTGGCCCAATGTGGCTGGTCCCAGTCTTTATTTTTCTCTCGGTAATGAAGGGAAATGGACCAGTTGTTGACAACGATCATTGGTCAGACTGGGCTCAGAAAGCCGGCAGAGTATGACATTCAGCTGTTAGAAGAAATTTCCGTGCATTGGAGTTCCATCATGGTCTTGAGTAGAAAAATACTCCTAAATCCACCACATCTGATGCAAAATGGTTTGCACAATGCCTGTTTTTGAAGTAAAACCGAGCTCAACCAATAGAACGCAGGTAGTCAAAGTCTACTCTTATTGGTTACTACAGTATTATTGGTTACCATTACAGTATACTGAATGAAATAAAATGTAAACAAAACTAGAGTTATTTAATTTGACATTGATTATTTTGAAGTACACGTATTTTCTGCATAATAAGACCGCATGCCTGCAGTAACCCCTGAATATAAGTGTGCGAGTATCCACAAGCCTCTCCGTCAGCTTCGTAGAAGGGGGGAGCGATCCTGGGTAGCGTCCGGACGAAGGGGAAGACCCGCTGGAGATATAAATTACAGTTTGCAGACCACTCTGATAAAAACAATCTCGGGTAATACGAAATGGAAGTAACTGAATGGACAACTTTATAAAAATACTGATTTATTCTTGGCATTAAAAGCAAAACGATGCAAAATCTAGCATCGCATCGAGAATACATGTAATGTGAATCACACGCCAAACCTGTTTTCACCAGACTTGCCTTTTTGGGCTAATCTATGGTGAGATGTCCGAAGTGGTTTTGTACCAAGTCCTTCCATTTGGTTTGAAACACCCAAGGTACGCGGTCTGGTGTTGATAAAGACTTCTTAGCGTGCAGAAGACGCACACAAGACCAGTGTTGCCTATTCCTTTCCGTCCTTTAGTATAACCAATGCATAATCACCAGTGTGAGAAGTGAAGCAGGAGGAGTCGCACACGTTCGCACCAAGCTCTACAATCAAATCTGTGTGGCAGGGAAGGCCTACCAGAGGATCACAGTATTTCCAATAATATTTAGACCTACAATATTTTGTTCGGTTAAGACTCCTTTTTCTAGCTTAGCGGGCTCGTAAACTGACTTGGTGACGTTTGGCTCAGCAGCGGGCGATTCCGTTTAGCTGTGAATTTGATAAGCTGTTTGAAGAAATTCTCTCATAAATTTGATAAGCCTGACCAGCAGTAGCAGGCTATTTTCTAGCTATCTTATGCAGAGGCAGACATAACCCCCACTCTTTTTATTTTACCTTGGTATAGGCCTACATGTAATTTTCTTGCATTCTAAACCCTTTATACCAAAACCATTCAACATATATTCAATTTCTGTTGCGCATGTCTGTCAGCTCAAACTGCAACTAGTTACCAGAAAAAGTGGTGGATTATGGTTGTAATCTCCGGATCAAAGTTGCAGTGATGAACGCACGCACGCATGGAAATTTTATCGTGGATGCATGCACAATTCGTGTAACGCGTGACCGGCAACAGAATGGGAAAAAGTCCCTCACAGACAAATAAATGCGCATACGGGCAGCAAAGGCATTCTGTCATCTGTATCATGGCTAATAATTATGGCTCGTTTATAGTTGATCTTCAAACACGAAATGCTCTGTGAGCCATTGCTCAAGAGGATCATCCCGGGACCTTAACCTATGCAAATTCTCAATCAATATTCGCGATTCAGTGCGAGGCTATCTAGAAACTAGTTTTAGGTCAACCTCATAATGGAAGCAACTTTAGAGTTTAATTCAAATGGCTGTTTCATCGCCTTGACGTCGTTCGCCGTTGTTGCGTTGTGGAAAGGCGTGTATAAAAGTCTGGGTGTGCTGCTACCAACATTAACGGACCAGTTCACCGACCGCACTTGGCTGACCGGAGTGGCGATATCATTCATGGGATTATCTGCAGATATATCAGGTAACGGCAGAATGCGACTGATTCAGTGTACCTATTATATGAACCAAATCCTCCCGTTGTAATACATCGTCGTTAACGGTATTTATTGGGGTTACCTGTTAAAAGCAAAAAACAAACTGCCAAACCGTATGTTCAAAATTTATCAAAACATCCAATAAAATCGAACAAAGGAAGGCGGTATAAAGTAGAGGACAGTTCAAAATTCAAAAGATAACTGGTAACATTTCCCATGCTGTTTGCAGGTCTGTTGACTAATCTTTGGAAGGCAGGTTTGGACGTCGACGGATGTTAATACTCGGCACGTTGACGGTCAGTGTTGGCTTGATGTTGGTCCCGCTTGCCACAAGTATTGTGCACATCGCCATTGATTTAGGCGTTGTGGTTGGTAAGAATTTGCTCTAAAATAACAAATTCTGTAACAGGAGAGTTGTACTACTGAGCGGAGGATCCAGGAATTTTTTTTTGGGGGGGGGAGTCAGACCGGAGATTTATTTCAATTTCGTGGAAAAGATTGTAAAGCAATGCACATGACGTCTGCTGAATGCTATCTTGTTTTTAAATTTACTTAAATTATTTTTAAAATTATTTTTTTTCCTTTTGTTTTTACCTTTTTAAGTCTCAGAGTGGGGTGTCCGCCCTGGACCCGCACCTGGTAACTCTTTGGCCCAGCAGTAAGCACAGCTAAAGGCACGCTTACTTCAGAGAAAAACATGCTTAACTTAGGGATACAACAATAATTATGCGTTAGCAAAACCACTCCAAGTACAACCATGGAAGAGTCCTTAAGGTTAGCGGTTGTTTTTGGCTGGTTTTTTTTGGGGGGGGTTGGTTATAGTAAGCACAACATATATGCAGACTGTTATATCTTAACTGGATTTATCCTGATTTTTCTACATAGGACCGGCTCTGGGCATTTCGCTGTTCTTAGTAAAGTTCCTCTGGGACGTCACTTTAGTAAGCGGTATACATTGGCCAGTGGTCCCTCTTCTAGCCTTTGCACCAATGACGCAGCTATTCCTTGATACCTACGGATAGTTAGGAGCCGCCTTGCTCCTTGCTAGGGTCTGTTTGCACTCAGTAGTCTGACCCCTGCTTGTCAAGAAAGAAAAACAACGGTACGAGACACCACCCAACCAGCATGACCACGAAGAAACTAACAGCACAGGAATGATCCGCGTTAAATCCTGCTTTGCTCATGCGCTCTCAACTCTGGATGTGAATATTCTTCGTGAGTTCAACTTCTGGATTGTTTTTACCTGTATTTTATGGGACTCATTTTTCGGGCAATGGTTGGTTTCTGTTCAACGTTTCCCATCTTCAAGCTAAGGGGTTCTCCCCCAAGCATCTGTTCAGCAGCGAGCGTTGGTTACCTCGTCGGTTGTATGCTGTTCACGCAGCTTGTGGACAGAGGCTTTCTGAAATGCTCAACGGGAGTATTGATAAGCAGCCTGCTTTTGACATTGTCACTTGCGATAGATCCATTCCTGCACGAAGCATGGAGTATTGCTGTGTTTACAGCTCTCTTTGGTCTGTCTTCATCAGCACTGTATGTCCTTACTGATGTTCTTACCAAAGAACTGTTAGGCCGGGAAAGATTAACCAGCGCCTTCGCGTGGATAGGAGCTCTAGGGGTGCTGGCAAAACTTCTTGCCGGTTTTTTATCAGGTACAAAGAGCCCTTCAAACAGTTAAAAATCTGTGCTTGACCGAGTATTCAGGTACGCCCATGTGCAAAATTATTTGAAAGTTTAAATGATAGAAAAGCCTCAAAAGATTCCCTGGGATTAGTTTCTACTTAATACGTGGTGACCTTAAACGTAGAACTTCGTTTTGATTTGACACAAAATTTATTACAATAGATTTTGGTTCTTTAAATATTCAGTTTGGTAAATCTGGTTTTATAAAGACGTAATGTAAAAAGAAAGTACTCGGCATCAACACGATAATAACGAAATGCGAAACTAGAGAATCAAAGCTTGAAGCGGTAAACTGTATTGGGACATTTTAAAAGATGAAGTTATGGATGCAAAGTCCGTCCTCCATGCTCCTACGCTGTTTAAACTTATAAAATCCCCTCAGTATTTTGACTTTATCATGTATCCTGTTTTCAAAGGTTGGTTGTATGATATAACTGGGAGTTACGACGTGGCTTTCGTCATAATGGGCGCTGCAGCAACAGTGGCAGTCATCCCTCTGGTCATCGGAAAAATTTGGAGAGAATTGTGAGCTCTGTACATCAACTTCTGAGGCGTAAACAGCCAGGAAAGTACGTGAAGGCGACTTGCCCCGACGGATTTTTTTACAAAGAATTTCTCATACGAAAGAGAAGTAATTGGTATAATTATTTATCAAATATTAGCAAGTGCTTTCATCACAACAGGCAATCTAGAATAAGGGTACTCTTTGTCGATATACTAAATCATAAAGGATATGTATTGGTTGAACTACTCATTTATCATGCACCTGGTATAGGCCTACCCGTTCTTTAATGCGAGGACTGAGACTTCCGTCGCAAATCTTGTGTTGTATTTTGGAACACTGGCCACTTCAGTACAGGTTTTCCGTTGACATGATTACAAAACAACAATTAATAAATAAGACAGAAATGCACACATTATTGATTTCTAGCTGACCTATTTTTCAGAAATGAAATTTATGAGTAGCTCCTATCTTAATTCAATGACTTTACACCGCGGTTCAGTGAATGAGACTTAGTATAAAGTAAGTGTTCCACATACGTATGCAGAAATCCAATATTGCGACTCGAGTTTCGTGTTTGTTTCAGTTAGAAAACACGGGTGATCGGATGTTATTAGTTCTATGAATTTTTATTGGTCTGCATATGGATTGGCCTGTACGAATGGACCTTCGTGGTAAGGTCGTGTGACATTCAATATTAATATTTTATATGCTCCTAACACATCCCTAGTCCTTTAGCACACTGGCGTCCATACCGAATTGAATGCATTGACTTTTTAGTGTACAATGTTCCGTCGCCTCTTCGTAGAACGCCACCGTAAAACCAGACAGGAACTGGTCAAGTTCTGCTGTGGATCGGTTATACGTCGTCTAAACTCGTACAGCGCACCTTGCGTAAGATTCTAGTTGACGTACAGCATACCGGATTTGTTTCTTTGTATTCTTTGAGTCCGCTCCGTTAAGTAATTCAGCAACACGGTGGGGGGTTCAGCTTGAACCCACCGCCATTTTAGTCATCACGGGCATAAACGCGCCCTCTGTTGACTAATTACGTGTTAAAGTCCTTTGCGTGCAATAGATAAAACTGCATATAACCCAAAATGCACGTTGTGTGTAACAAAATGCAACGTTTATGACATAAACCACGAAAAAGTATATTTATAAAATATCGAGGGACCTATGATCCTCCAATAAAACGACAAGGATCTATTTAGGGGATCATCAAATAATGTATAATATGGAAATAAGAAAAAATAGTCATCATGACGTCATAAGACCGGAGAAAATGCATATTTTACCTAAGCTTGAGCTCTGAGAATGGCGCGTACATATGTTTAAAATGGAATATTAATACACTGTTGTGTTTATCTGTGGATGGATAAAACATATCCCGTGTGAATAATTTTCTCATAAATAGGCCTACATGGAGTAACACTTTGTCACCTGGTGACTGGCTTATACTGGGAAGAGGGGTGGAGATTGTTGTTTATTTCATATTTCCACTAATTCTTAAGAGATATATAAAGGCATATGCAAAGTGCATGGTGAGTAAGCGTGGGCAGAGTGGCAAGTGGGCGAAGTGGTTTGGTAAATAGGCAAAGTGACCAACACCACCCTGGCTGAATATCGCTTTAGGGGAGGGTTTATTGTCTTATAAAGTAGTGTTGGTTCTTAGAAGCAATAACATTGGTAACATTCTTAATCAAACTTCCTCATCATCTTTTGTCTTCCAAAGTACATTTGTTTTCGCTCAGATTTGGTCACTTGTATGAATTTGGGGATTGCCATACCAGTCATTTCTCTTGACACAGTGTTAAAGTAGCATAGTCAGGTAAGTCAAGATAATTGTGAATAACAATTCAAATGAGTATCATGTAGATATTGAATCTGAGTTGAACTTTATCGTATACATTTGAGTGAAAGTTTTGTTCTGAGAAAAAGTGAGTCCCGGGCCAGCCAGAACAGGTATTCAGTATCGGAAGGGGGGGGAGAAGCACGGGTCCCTCGTTCGAGGCGTATTCCCCGCCCCTGTGTGCCCACTTCTCACAAATTACAGAAGAAAATATGTGGAGATAGTCCGCCATGGTCAGTGTTTTGCATGTGACCTAATCCATTAAGCGCCCCCCCCCCAAAATGAGGGCCTCGATCCAAGCTCTTCAGAAAAGTACCCCAGTTACACCACTGCAGGCGTTGGGTACGGTACAAATATTTTTTGTTCAACCAGTTTTGTGTGGGTGTGGGTGTGAAAACGGCTGTAAATTTACCTGACATCTGGATAAAAAGGTTGGGAACATCTAACACACTTTAGCACAAAAAAAACCTACAAAGTTAATATGCAGATGACTGGGGGCTATTGTTATTTTATCATTTTTATCATGGTAATAATTTACTGAATTTTCTGAAAAATGTGCTTTTGTACATAACAAATTATAGCAGATGAGTTTCTCAGTCGTGAAGTAAATCAAGACACGAACAAGAACATGAACTAAAATATGTATCATTGTAGTTTACGCTCAATAACGCAGCTCACCTGTAATCACAAGCAAGTTTTTCGATAAATAATATGTCAGACAAGTTTATTTCTGTATACTTCTACGGTAGTGACTGGCAGTCCCAAATGGCACACAGAAGTGCAGAACAAGCCGACAATAACTGACCCGGCTCGGTTCAGCTGAATGAGTCCCGACAATACAATACCTGCCGTTGTGCTACAGTTCATTCAGACGTTGAAAATAACCCATCATCTGAAGTGGAAGTACCGGATCCCAGAATTCATTAGCGAATCACACGGTCTGATCTGCTGTCGGTGATACATCTCTACGGACCTACATTTTCGGCGCTCCATTTTCTTCGGACAGGCCTGCAATGGACACGAGTGCAGAACTGAACGCAAACGGCGGTTTCATTGTGTTGACGTCCTTCTGTAACGTGGTGCTTTGGGGCGGGATCTATAAAAGTCTGGGTGTGCTTCTACCAACACTAACAGACCAGTTCACCGACCATACCTGGCTTACCGGAGTGGTTATATCATTCATAGGAGTATCGGCAGATTTATCAGGTACAAGAATTAAATTCTGACACATACCTTGCAGACGCGTTCCAAGGGGGGGTTTGCTAGACCTTTCGCACTTGACGTCACCTTTTAACTTTCGTTACTGCTCATAATGACCCTGCAAATATGATCAGGGACGATATATTTAATGAAACAAAATTAAATAGAGAATTACGAATCCAATACTTCTCCACCCCAATTTTTTCCCATTTGGGGGAAAGGGCCTAGACTAAAGGGTTTTTTGGGGGGAGGGCTGAACCAAACCAAACCAAATAAACAAACCTACCCATCGTAAGATAGCTTATTAAGATAGCTTATTATTAATTTTTGAGTATTATTATATCCGTCTAACGGGTTGGTTTCAAACTAGAATGAAATAAACTTGCCAAGAGACAACTTCAGTAGACTTACCGCGGCCCATCAGTGAAGTCACGATGACGTCATCGATACTTGGATATTTCAATATTTCGAAGTCTGAACTAACTTGTAGGGTCCTCCTTGCCAGAGGGATGTGGAAAATATTTGCGGATATTCATCTCGTACGTATGACTGGTGAATCGTAGCTCGTATGTACACGTTATATCTCATACTAAGGACTAATACGTGTCATGCGTCCGATTATAAGTGGCGCAAATCTGTGCCGGAAATTAGGAGGTATCGGTAATGGGGAAAAGTGGCGGAATGACTGGCCCGTCCGAGAAAATGTGGTGAGTGGGATAGGGAGATGACACCATAGGGCTCTATACAGAAATAGGTGTTCATGATCTTGATGTATACATTTGTAATATGCATTCCATGTGCATTCATGCAGAATCTTGCATCAGAATGGCAATTGTATGGCTTTTTCATTATTTTCCCTGTTTTGAGTGATATTGAATGCATTTTAGTCGTTGGAAATCCGAAGAATTCTTCACACACTGCTTAAATTTTTGCTCTACACAAGGACGTGTGTGCAGGCGTGGCATACAAAGTGTGGACCACAAAAGAAGTCAACTTAATGTAGGGTGCAATGGCGTTGTGTGGACTCGCACACGTCCACACAATGTTTTGCCCTCTCTATGACAAACGGTTTCAAAGGCATTTTGGGGTCAAGGTTATCGTGGCAAAATGAAGAGGAACAGTCCAGGAAATCATCATCAAAAATCAAGCTCAAAGGAGTTATCCTAGTAGGAGAAAAAGGAGCATTTCCACACGTTTTCTTATGCACGGAAGAGCAAAGGAATATCCGCACTTTGTATGTAAACATGCGCTTACACATGGGGCCTTGTGGGGTACTGGAACATTGGGAAGTACCCCCACAAGACCAGTATTTACCTTATGGGGTACTAAAATTGGTACCCCACAAGAATTTTACGAAACTGATATTTGGAAATAACTCAGAAAGGGGAATTTTTGAAGGGTAAAAATCTGTAGCAAATTGAAGTGTTTTATATAAGGGTCGAAATTTCAACCAAGGGAAGTGAATTTGGTTTAAATTGGAGTGATTTGAAATTTTTTGCGTGTTGTGTGGGAGTTTTGTTCACGAGGACAAAGGAAATACCCCACAAGTATAACTGTGTAAGGATGGGTGTGGGTGTGTCAGTGGGAGGGTGATTCAAAAAGCCCATCCCCACACCCTCAGAAAGTGAGGGGATCCCCCATTTAAGTCCGTGCTTTTATGTCTTACGCACATTCTATTTCATCTGCTATGAAACAGGTCTGTTCACCACACTTCTTGAAGACAAATTTGGACGTCGACGGATGTTAATACTCAGCACGTTGACAGTCAATGTGGGCTTGATGTTGGTCCCGCTTGCCACAAGTATTGTGCACATCGCCATTGTTTTAGCTGTCGTTGTTGGTAAGAATTTGTTCCCCAAAAAGAAATTATGTTACAGGGATTCTGACTTTTACATAAAAACTTACCAATAAAGCATTCTGGTACGCAACTTTACTACATGTATCATGCCTTAGACAAAATGTTGACGCCACCATAACGACGGATACGCGGATGCCTTCCATGACTCCCTTCACAGCATAATTCTATGACCGGTATAGGCCCTAACTGGGTGTGCCTGCAAACCGCAGACGTTTATTGAATGTTAAATTGAAACGGGTATACCGAAAGAGTTCCCGAAGTCGAGCCTGGATAGTAGATGGCCTTCATTCATATGAATGTGGAAAGCAAAGTCGCATTCTTTTTTTTCCAAAAGATAACAAGACGGATTTTTCTTCATATTATTTTGCTTTAGGACCAGCCGTGGGTATTTCTGCTGTTCTCAGTAAAGTTCTTCTGGGACGTCACTTTAACAAGCGTTACACACTGGCCAATGGAATAAGTCACACCGGACAAGTGGTCTCTCTCCTTGCATTTGCACCAATGACGCAGCTATTCCTTGATACCTACGGTTGGAGAGGGGCCACCTTGCTCCTTGCTGGGGTCTGTTTGCACTCAGTAGTCTGCCCTGTGCTTGTCAAGGAAGAAAAAGAACGGTACGAGACACCACCCGACCAACATGACCACAAAGAAACTAACAGCACAGGAATGACCCGCGTTAAATCTTGCTTTGCTCATGCGCTCTCAACTGTGGATCTGCGTATTCTTCGTGAGTTCAACTTCTGGGTCGTTTTTTCCTGTTTTTTCGGGGCTCGTTTTCCCGACAATGCTTGGTTTCTATTCAATATTTCCCATCTTCAAGCTAAGGGTTTCTCCCCCCAAACATCTGCCGCGCTCTGTTCAGCGGCGAGCGTTGGTTACCTCGTCGGTTGTGTGATGTTCTCACCTCTTGTGGACAGAGGCTTTCTGAAATGCTCGACGGGAGTATTGATAAGCAGCCTACTTTTGACATTGTCACTTGCGATAGATCCATTACTGCATGAAGCATGGAGTATTGCTGTGTTCACAGCTCTCTTTGGCCTGTCTTCATCAGCAATGTACGCCCTTACTGATGTTCTTACCAAAGAACTGTTAGGCAGGGAAAGATTAACCAGCGCCTTCGCCTGGTCTTCAGCTCTTGGGGTAGCAGCGAAAATGCTCGGCGGCTTTTTACCGGGTGAGTGCCAAAACAGTATAAAAATTCGTAGGAACAAACACGTAGCTAAACAACATCTCTGTATGATCTGCCATTCAGTCTTGAAGAAAAACTATGGGTCCAAGTTGGTAGCGCTGAAGCGTCCAAGTTGGTAGCGCTGAATGCAATACCCATCGACCCTCAGATGGCTATTATCGTGTGAATGATACCAGTGACATTTTACTTCTGAACCTCTACCTCCACACGATAAATAATTAATTGAGTGTCCCTCGCACCCAACAGAACATTTTATAATTATGAGCCCTATGTATGGTGACCTCGACGTTTTGACCTTCGTTTTCCCGTCATGCCATCATGACATACCAAAAAAATCTGTTGGCTTCATTTCGTTATTGGGTATCGCTGCCTCGGTCTTTTAACATATGGTCAGTAAACAAGCCGGTTTAAAGGAAAAGCTATCCTCCGTCCGCTAATAAGCAACACAAAACCGGAGGCCACAGTTTGGCTGAGTTTTTCGCACTGTGCTTTCGAGCGTCGACAATTTGGATCGAAATCAGACACATTTTGCATAGCCCACACGTGGACACAAATGACCGAAACTGTAAAGTGCGAAGGCAAAAACAAAAGAGATGCCATATTGTATTTGAAAATACGGGGGTGTCTGTTCCGCCCGCCATTCTAAGGCTGAGAACATCCTATAACGCCGTGACCTTTTACACTTTGAAAATGTCTGTTCTTCTACAGGTTGGGTGTATGACTCGAGCGGTACCTACGACCTGGCTTTTGTCATCATGGGCGCTGCACCAGCTGTGGCCGCTATCCCCCTGGTCATCGGAAAAATTTGGAAAGAAATATAAAGATCATTGTGCCCAGATCACAATAGGAACTGTGAAGTGCCATCCCATCTTACTACGTACTACTCTTAACATACTTGCCAAATTTGGCTGGTGCCCCGACTTATTTTTTTGTATCAGTTGGCTGCACGAAGAAATTTTCCTTGCACTGGAGTCCCATCCTGGTCTAGAGTAGAAAAAATAAACAATGTGTTTCGACATGCACGAGTTCAAACTCCAACTATGTCTTGAACTAAAAGACCGAATTCCACCCAGGGAGTGCAGGGATTAGAATATTGTTATCAAACCGTCTCCAGCTGTAACCCTCGGAGTTTCAGTGACGTCCATCGGTGGTCGCACAAACGACACACTTATAAAGCAAAGTGCATGGCAACACCGTCTTGTTGAGAAGAAATTCTGGAATCTTTTCAGCACGGTGGTATTTTATATGCATGTTGTCGATTAATCTGATTTGGCGGAGCATCGCCATTCAATATATCAAGGTCGATCGAGGGAACCTCCCCTTTCAGCGTCATCAAAGTCTACTATTACTGATAACGGTATGTTTAAACAAGTTGTAAACAAAAACATAATCATTTAATTTGACATTGATTATATTGAAGTAAATGTATTTTTCGTATAAAACAAAATGCATATACCTGCAATAACCTCTGGATATATAGATATGGAGGGTATCCCCAAGTAAAATGTAGCACCGCGTGGAGAATAAATATGAATCTCACGCCGAACTTGTTTTCATCAGACTTCCCGTTTGGGACTGACTTAAAACGTTTTCGGGTTTCGTTTTGAAGATCAAATTTGAAAAAAATATCTATTAGAAATTAACTTGGAAAAATATGTCTCGTACAAGCAAATTAGATTTCAAAAAAATCATCTCGTCAAAATGATTTGTTATCATAAATGGAAACAATATAGATCTCATAAGAACGATCTGGAGAATATATCTCGTACAAAAGAACGCTGGAAAAATATACATGTATCTCGTAGAAACAAAGATATATATATCACAAAACGGAATTTGTAAACGCTTCACTTTTTGAAATTAAATACCAGTACTGATGGCACTACAAGGCTTTCATAGTCACCGAACACAGTAAAGAGAACTGCAACTTTGCTCAGCTTTATCGAAAAGATCATTATGGATTCTTAAGTCATTCGCTTGACGCCTTACCGTATTTATAAGCCAAATGTTCATGTTTTTTAAAGGAGCACGATCCTTGGATCAAAATACTCATTGCGAATGATGTTGGGGACAATCTGGTGAGTACCTTGACATATTGTAATCATTACAAGAATGCAGTACTGATCCCCCCCCCGCCCCAAAGCTTGACGAAAAGCCCTACGGCCGTTGTTCTTTCAAGGCTGGGTTACTTGTGACTTTTCAGTGTACATGTGCAGTACATGTACTGTACATGTACATGTCGGCCTATGTACCGCACCGTCGTCACGAACGTATATAAAAACCTGGACTTGCAACGCCTTTGTATGAAAAAAAAGCCAACCAGCGGCCATAGTGACCGACTTGGAGCCGAATACAAATGCGTGGGTTGATGAAGAACAAATTGAACAAAGGCGGGCATTGCCAGGAAAGCTTGGTGTTCGGCTCGTTAAAATGGCCGCGAGTGGATTCAATGACTCTCTAAGCTGTTGAGGGCATTGCGAGTCCAGATTTTATTATACAAGTCCGTGACCGTCGTAGACTTGGCCCAGGAAAGTCAAAGCCGCGTTTCCGAGTCGCACTGTGCGGAGGCTAGTCTTGGTTCAAGCGGGAAGAACTCCACAGCGGACTCGATCGAGCACATGTACCGCGCGCGCTGATTTCTATTGCGCCCTCTCGTGACTTCATTTCACCAATCGACGGTGCGTGGCTCTTGTATGCAAAATAGTAGTTTAATTATTCACATTGACCGAAGGATACAAAACAGACTGTTAGAGCGTTGAAGCGGGTTCGCACCAAGAGCGTCAGCTTGTTATTGCAGTCTTCAGTATTGTTGTAGGAAGTCTTTTACAAGCTTACTTCTTCTCTCCTTGTTCCAAACCGACCGCGGCCACCGACTAGTACTGGTACTTTAGGGTCGAGTTCGGGCGGTCCGCTCTTGACAGGGGTTTCGTGTTCTCGCGCTCGAACGGTGGGAACACGACCCAAGAACAATGTTCTCGGAACAGGACCCCACACCACCTCCTCGTCAGGATTTTACACGAACACACGGAAAAACTCGTGAGATTTGATTTTTGAACAGCCGCAGAAAGTACCGATGTGGCTTTACAAAGACAATGGAAAGTTTTGCAAAATAAACATTAATAATTTTCCATGACAGAAATGAATTTTTTTAATTGAAAAGACGTTAGCCCAGCTATCCATCATTAACTCTCGAAGAATGCACAAGGACGCTGCCATGTTGCACGTTGCTTGCCACTAATAACTACTAGCGCTAAGACCCAGTTGTGCGTTCCCGGCGTTCGAGCGACCGACCCACGAACAACAAATCGAGCTGTTCGTGAACAAACGAGAGCAAGCAGTCCGAACTCAGCCTACTAGTATGTTCAGCCATGGAGGTAGAATCTACCTCCATGGTAGTATGTTCAGCCATGGAGGTAGAATCTACCTCCATGGTAGTATGTTCAGCCATGGAGGTAGAATCTACCTCCATGGTAGTATGTTCAGCCATGGAGGTAGAATCTACCTCCATGGTTCAGCGTCGCGTAATTCAGTTCTTCTACATTACATCACTTAATACTAATAGGCCACGCGATGCAGTTAATGGATCCATATTCATCACATATAGATTCAACTGGAATTTCCCGGGCACTGATTGGTTCCTCCGGACATCCGGAAGAAAAGTAGAGGAAAAGTTAAACGATTTGTAGGACGTGCCGTCGATTGGTGAAATGAAGTCACGAGAGGGCGCAACAGAAATCGGGGCGCGCTCCATATGCTCTCTGCCGTCTTGGCCCAAGACTAAGTGGTAGCCAACACAATGCACTGATGACCTTCCCGCTTCAGCAACAAAGCAAGCGTGAAGCCTGGCTGGCCTTGTTTGTATACCCGGGCCCCTCCCCCACATCCATTATTTTGCGCACAATGCATAAAGGTCCTGTAATATTGAAAGTCACTCATCCGTGAACCGAAAACACCCGAGACGAGAATTTGTGGGAAGGCCCTATCAGAATGCCGTTCGACTACCGCTTTACCGGATTCTAGTGATCAATCCTTAGTTTAGTAAGAGCAGTCGGGTTTTGAGTGATGAATTCTCACGACGTTTCGATGAAGAGGTGGGCGGGGCGCGTGGCTCTAGTTACCGGTGCATCTTCTGGTATCGGTTGGGAGATCGCTCGGAATCTAGTCCAGCACGGAATGAAAGTGATCGGATGTGCACGCAACGTTGTAGCAATTGAGGTATTTACACATGTACACTTGCACGTGAAAGTATGATACATGTATATGTAGGACACTTCGATTCAAGTGCTTAGTCATTCAAATTAATAGCCCAATCATCTGTCTGTTGTATGTACACGGTCCTAGCTTGGGCAAAAATAGCAAGATGAAACTATACATTTTGTTTGACTTTTTCAGTTTTCAGTGGCAATGACTTAAAAAGACAGGAAATCCCGACAAAATTTTATGTACTTTACCCCGAATTTGGCCGATTTCACGAACTCCTCTTACACACTGTATAAAATTTTACTTTTAGCTTCCACAAAGTGCTGTTGAAAACAAACGCATATGAAGCAGATCAAATTGAGTAAAATTACGTTAAAAACCCTAAATACTAATTGCTGCCCCTTTCCAGGAGGAGTCTACCCTCCTCAAGGAGTCCCAATCCCCTGGTCTTCTCTACCCGATAAAATGCGATCTGTCTCAGGAAAAGGACATTCTGGCCATGTTTGATGTGATTTGGAAGAAGTTCGGAGGCGTGGACGTCTGCATCAACAACGCGGGGTTATCTCAAGCGGCTAGTCTTCTCGATGGGGACACCAAGAAATGGAAAAACATGGTTGATGTAAGGAGTCTCTTGTGGGCCATTTAGAACCCTACATAGCGGGAGGTGGTTGGTAGATTCACTGTCGTTAAAGGGCGTGGAATATGATTTTTATAGGCTTGACTCTGGCAGTTGTTGGCAACGCTTAAGATACGTTTTAGAGCTTTTATAAACACGCCAGACAGATTCTTTGAGCAGGCCAAGGAAGACTGCGTCGGGAAGAATGGAGCTGATGGGTGGGATGGGGGGGCTGGGTAAGTCTATGGGCTGAAGACGGTCAGGCCATGAAGGAATAAACCCTCCATAGTTAGGCTGAGGGGAGTTGGGCTAGGGAGCGGGTTTGACTGGGTAAGGTTGGGGTCAATGAAGAGGGTTAGGCGGATGATGAGGGTTGGGCTGGGGAGGGTTGGGCAACTTGGGCAGATGGGGAGGGTTGGGCTGTGGAGAGGGTTGGACTGGGGCGAGTGTGCAGAGCAGGATGGAAAAATGAGCATAATCTTGAATATAATTATGGTGTAAGCTCCAGAATTAATCTTGAACATGCATATCTAATCACAATGTTGCTTAAAGGTTTTTTCTTTTGTGGTTGATTCTGACTTTTGCACTGAAATTCTAAGAAGATGGAAACTGCTTAATCTAATAAAGTGAAAAAAAAATCAAATTCGGGAAAACCTAGTACAGTTGTGGTCAAGACTTTCTTTGTCAAGTTTTTGTCTTTGGTCCTTCATGCCTGTGTTTCGACTATACCCACGGATAACAAATCAAAAAGCTTAATTTGTGTACACCAGGTCAACATCCTTGCAGTGGCGATATGCACCAGGGAAGCTGTTAAACAGATGGCCCAGAAAGGAGCCGACGACGGTCAGGTCATCAATATTAATAGGTATGCTCATGAATATTCACAGCTGACTCATGCACTCAGCAGCCTCCATTTTGATCTTGGTTTGCCATGGATTGTCAAATTTAGATGGATCATGTCGTTGACCTTTTTTTCTCAGGCACACTGTAAAAATGATAAAATTGCAAGCAGGCCTACCCAGTCCTTTACACCACACACCATCAAGACTCCACATTCTTCACTGAGTTTTGAAATTATTCATTAGTCTTTCGGGTCACAAGGTGACACAGAATAGAGACAGCCATTTCTACACGGCCACCAAGTTTGCCATGACGTCGATGACGGAGGGAGTACGGCAGGAACTCAGGGAGATAGGATCTATGATCAGAATTGCTGTAAGTGACAGCCCTGTGATGCTTCCATCCTACAAGGGGTGACAGGGGAAATCTAACACGCCCTGTTGAATTAATCCATGTTGTCTGATGTCTCCTGAATTTGTATTAATTTATTCTTGTTTTTAACAACATGTAGGTTAAAGCCCTATCATTTATCTTCGTAGGGGCCCTGGGGATGTTCAGTTTCAGAGGTGGGCAGAAAGCCCTAGACCAATTTGTTAAGACTCTAATTATTTCTGCTCCAAATTTGCAGCAATCACAGGAAAAATCACAAACGATACTTAAAAGAAATTCAGTGGTCAATACTTCAGCAATTACAAGGCCGAAGAAATTAGTCATTTTTCAACCCTGAAATTGATTTTTTTTTTCAATCATTTTTCTGCAGAGTATATCACCTGGCATTGTGGAGACAGAGTTTTTATCTAGGATGTACCCCGACAACCCTTCCAACCCTGCAGCATTATACAAGTCAATGCAGGTAAGAGACAGGTGACAGACTTTAAGTCAACTAGGGTGACGCTTCAAAGCCCATCCGTCTGGTCTTGAGTTGGTCTCAACTGCAACCCGGCTCCAGACCTCGAGACAAAAGGAGGGTAAGGGCTGAGGTAAACGAAATGAACTGCGGAATTTAAGTTCACATTTGGAGCTTTATTAAGCTGTTTCAGTCAGGTGGGAAATAATGGGCCGAGGTGGGGTTGAGAAAGAAGACAGAGATCATGGCAGGGATTTCTTGACCATTTATGAAATGCTCGCTGAACTTTTTACTGGAGATCACAGGTACTAAGAACACTGGTATCAGGTGTCCATCTAAGTGCGTTCATCTTTTCCATTTCAGTGTATACAACCAGAACAGATTTCGACCACAGTGCAGTACATTATGGAGTTGCCACCGCATGTGCAGGTGATAAGATGGAAACGCATCAACCCGATTTTAATTAACACCAAGTCTAAGTTTTATGCAACGTTTCAACTTCGAATGGTTTATTTTTATCTGATGCATTGCCACAGTATTTAAATCAGCCAAAGTGATGGGGGGTCATCACAAATCCCTGGCAAGTCACTGTGTCTCAAGTTACGAGCTATCTGAATGAGTTGCAACAGAGGCTTTCCTTTTACACTGTTCGTCCCCTTTATTCACCTAAAACACTGGTGCACATTGACAAGAAGCGCAGTTTCCCTATGGCTGGGAGTCTGTTCTTATTCATCCTATTTATGGTTTCCAATTTTCCTTTTTAACTTGAATGCAGGTTCATGACGTTCAAATCAGACCGACAGAACAACGGAACTGAGTAGACCACTCAGAAGTCTACAGAAGCAGTACTAGTTAACCTGTAAGAGCTGAGCTTCTGACAGATTCTACCTCTCCCTCGCCCCAAGAACTTGGCTGTCTCATGTTTTTCTGAAACTTTGTATGCACATAGAGATGCTCCTTATCAGCACAACCGAGAACTTGTGCTGATTCTGAGTGTCTCTACAATTCAACACACGGTGGTGTTACAGTTGTCTGGAGTTAACGGTCACACCTGTCAGCTCACACATGCATGGAGCACTCCCATGGCAAAACTGTCAATTTTTGGCTACAATGTCTCGGCAAATGGGCTTAACATGAGAACAGTACATCTGATTTTCACCAAATTGGGGTTAAAATGACAGTGAGAGTTAACTGAGAATACTCTTGATGGATAAGAGCATTAAAAATACGCTGTGACAATATGGCAAAACCTGTTGGGGTGGGGGGATTTCCACCCCTGGCTCTTTTAGGGTTAAAACATCTTTAGGCCCCATTAAAATAAGGAATATTTGAAGTTATTCAATACAGCTGTCTGTTATTACTGCAAAATCAGGTACGTGTAATCATTTATACTGGTAACAAATTAACAATCTTGGATGCCTAACAGCTCAAATCTGACCACTTGTCATTCTATCACTAGCAAAATGAAGATCAATTTTCTGAAACAAATTATCAAAGAATTTCTTGAACATTTGTGAAACTTGAACAACTGGCTGCCATTTTCACATTGTAGCAACGTGCACACATACATGGTGGAAAAAAAGGACATGAACTTAACCACACGTAGAAAATGTATCAAAATACAAATAAACTCTTTGAAGCGATTTGTCAAACAATACCTGAAGATGCCACATCAGCTGGTTGGGAGGGTAGATTTCCTCTTCTTTTTGGCCTTCAGGATGGGTGCTGTTTTCAACTTAAAGGCAGTGCTGTTGAGAGATCATTGAATTCAAGATTTCAGTTTTCATATGTGTATTGAATTAATATACCATAGACAAGTCTCATGCAGCCACTGAAACCTTGAGTTACATGTAACCTCAACAAATTTTGAAAATCCTAAAATTGTGAATTATGTCCAAGGTATAACAGGCTCAGATTTTTTAATACACTTTATTCAAATTTTAGCCCGTCACTTTTAATTGTCAATGCAATAAACTAAATTCTTTTACTGACAAAACTATACTTACTGGCAAGTGGAACAAATGGGGCTGTAGGTGCAGAAAACTGGGGAAGGACATGAACATGAAGAATTGGTTTCTAGTATTTGGATGGCAACTTTCCAATTTTCTTTTCTGAGTTCACAGTTTGCATTTCCTAAAATCGGAAGGGCATCTCTGGGACTGATAAAAAGGGAGTTACGTTTGTCGCAGTAAAATGAAATAAATTAGGGAGATTTGATTAAAAAGTCACTAATGGCGTTCCTTGCAAAGATAAATTTGTATATGTGAAATAGGACTTATAGGACCTCAATTGTCAGGGGGTATTACATCATTTATTCACGCAGTGACTTTGACCAATCACTGGTAGCCTGCCTACTGAGTGTAACTTACAATGTAAGATGTGCTTTTAAAACCTAGAATAAACAAGCTTCAATTGGAGCAAAACCATGTACTATGTGCTCTCAGGTCTGCGTAAATCCATCGCCCGTTTGTCTGCTTAACTGTCTAAAGTTTGTGGCAATATAAAAAGGTTTTATACTTGAGCCGAAGTTTGACCAGAGAAGTTTAAATTGATTAATCGATGTCCACGGTGTCCATGATGCAAACGATAACCTGAGTTTTGTAGCCCTATATAGCCCTAATGAAGTGAACTACATATACGATTTTGTGAAACCGAAACCTGGACATTTTGTTACGGAATACACAGAGGGTCACTGTTCAAATTATTTGGGTATAGCTCTACTTACTTGAGAGGCAGACAGAGCAGACATAGCCAATGTCGATGAGTGTGCGATGGCAGAAACACGCCGCACGATAGTCAACATGGATGGCTGGTGGGAGAACCAGTGTATCCCGGAGACTGGGATCTGGTAGAAATGCCCACTGACAGAAGAGAGTACCAGACATGTCAAGTGTAGAAAAAAAGTTACAAAGAAGTAACCCAGGGTTGTTTAAACTTGCAGTATAATCCAAAGGACAAGACACTGTCAATATTCTGCTATCAACTGTCTGTACAAACTGTACTGAAATGAGCAAACCCTAAATCCTCCAAAACCCATCAGGTTTTATAGGATTTTGCAGGATTAAGGATGGGTGGAAGCTTGATGGCTTCTGCAGCACAAAGGATGTTTGCTACTGGTTTGCCACAAAGTGGGCCAATTTGGAAGACGAAGGAAGGTTCCTGGCCAAATTTGCCTCTGGAGTATGGATTACTCAACTTCAACTCCATCTGATGCACGCACACTCACAACTTATGGATGGGAGCGTTGTGAAGGTCAGTCTTTGCAACCGACTGTTGTTTATGTGGAACAAGGGTGACTATTATGAAAGTAAACTTCTCAGAGACTTCAGCAACCTTTCAGACAAGATCGAAATTGCAGCTGAACTCACCAGTAGGTACTGCAGAAGCCCACTAATCTGTGGTATTTTGAGGTACATTCCGCCAGTGATATCACATGCCTAGGAATGAGATAAAATGGACAAGCATGAGCTCTCGGCTCTCTGGATATGTACAGATAAAGCAAGCTATAATTTAAGCTGTACGAGAATATCTCAACAGGCGAGCACAAGAGTGGCAACCATTCACTCTCGAAAATCGCAACATTGTTGCAGAGTGTCTTGACTGGGGACACGAGCACCGTGGTCAAACTTGAACCGATGCTTGAGCCTGTCTAAAGTTACCCACCTGTTGCAGTAGACCAGAGTCTTTTTCCAAAATACAAGCATCAATTGGAATGCTCTGCAAAAGAGATGAGCAACAAAGTTGATGAATTGTTCATTTGGTATTTTCTAACCCCTTGACGACAGGATTTTTTTTCCGAAAGCCGACTCCAAGAATTCCAGCCTCGCTTGGCCATGAAGGCCACCTGCCAAATCGCAAATTCTTGGTTTGTGACCCTGCGTGCTCTGCATGCTTTGAATTACACAGTGAAAAGGCTCATTGTTTGGTGGCATGCGGCTCTACTCACGCTTCCACATTCCCGTTGCCTCTTTTCAAAATGGGGACTATTGTGAAGCTGGTTATTATGATGCAAATTCGGCCTTTTCATTTCTTGGCAACACACAAAGGCCAATCACCATATATACAAGAGCCAGGGCCTGCCTTCTGTCTCCGTGTTCGCTTGAGCGTGGGCCAAGAATATGAGCTGAAAAGGGGGCTGAGGATCTCAATTTTTACAGTGGCTCTTACCGTCTCCCGGCGCAAAGGGGTTAAAATATTTACATATTGTGAATAGTACATGCACACATAAAGGTATTACCATCTCCCACAGACCTTGACGCTATCAGAAGAGTGGTGGAAAAAGCATGGAACACACCAAAAATATGTATCAAGTCCATGCTAGGTGCACGCTAGTGGGCCAAGAGTATTTCTACCAACACAGGTTAAATGATAAAGTCCCTTAGATTAAAAACTTCCGTGCACAAATTGCGGAAGCAATACGGTAGATGCAACATTTCAGAACCTGTTTTTGCGCGGTGAAGATTACATTCATGAAGTTCATGTACTGCGAGGCACTGTCATCCGCGGCTTTGATGACCTGACAAAAGAGACATCAGAGAGAATGCATTAATTGTTGGGTCAAGGTTTGGCTGATATCAGGGAATAGTTTGGGCACTGGTGGTCACTAGTTTTTATGGGAGCCAACAAGCACTGCACAAAAGTGTGAGTACTTCAACTGAGCATTTCAAGCAATCAACTGTCAAAAAGGTTTTTATGGGAGCCAACAAGCACTGCTTAAAAGTGTGAGTACTTATGGAAGCCAACAAGCACTGCTTAAAAGTGTGAGTGCTTCAACTGAGCATTTCAAGCAATCAACTGTCAAAAAGGTTACTTCATTCAAAGTTGAGCAAGAATAAAGATAAACAACTCAACTTACCAATAATCTTGACTTAATTTGCTGGCCAGCTGTAGAAAAATGAAGATTTACCAATGTTTTACAATTTTGTGCATGGAAGATTACTGAAGACATATACATTCATTTTCACCGAAATTCAGGATTTCATTACGTAAGATTGTACAGTTGGGATTGCAACTGCCCGTCTGAAAAGCTGTCCATAAAAGTGACTGAGAATATCAAAAATGTAAGTCTTACCTGCACATTCCTTCTGTGTCCTGTGTATGTCTACGTAAATTCATCCTGTCAAGGCATGCTACTGTTTCAATATTTGTTCACGGTTTAATTAGGCACTCAGTGTCGTAAAAAAATAAATATTCCTAAGACCATTCACAATTAAGACCAGTCATGAAATGCAAATCACGTGACTTGCTTGTGACGTGAATTCAGACTGGAGGTCTTGTGTAGGTCTTGTAGGGTCTTGCGATGGTCACTCCATTGGAACTCAGTCTAACATTTGGTTTTAGTCCAAAGAACATACATGTAGCCTGTATTATTGGATTTTTCCAAGAGTTGAATTTTGATGGATTCGTTGAAATTTCTGGCAAACATGATAGAAATGCTGTAAAACTCCACAAATGAGCAAAACAACACCAAATGTAAAGTCCACAAAAACACACAAGAACATTTAAATTGAGGAACATATTCAAGTTCCTTCATAAGATATCAAGGATACAGCACAAGCCCATGGCTAGTGAACCAGCCAACAAGGTGTCTGTGTGAACAACGGTGGGATCTGGATTAAAAAAAGAGGATAAATTTATGAGTTTCACATTGGCTCCTTATCACCACTGAAGTACCGAGTTAAAATTGGACACTTTGGATTGGACAGGTGTGAATTTCCTGTGAGCCTGGGGCAAGATTTCCCCTCGATGTGTAGTTTTGACATGCCTGAGTCAAGCCATGTCAAAAATGCGAGTTCAAATTTCAACAGAATGTGCACAGTCCACACAAATGAGCAGGGGGTGTTCACACATGACAGGAAAGCACCAAGGGTGGATCTAGAACCACATTTTGGGATGGGGGTCTGCAAAGTTTAGAGAAAGGGGTCCAGAAAACTTTCTGTGACATTTTACGGCCTTTTTGAAGGGTGAGGCTAAATTTGAGGGGGGGTATGTGCTTGTGGATTTATATTCTGAATATTTCACAAGCAAAAACAATTTTGGCCCTTTTGAATAGGCCACCTCCACTGTTACACTTTCCTCACCACAGCCTCTCTGATCTGCGGATAGAAAGCACCAATGTGCCAGCACATGGCAGAAATGGCCCTCAGGTGCCCTGACATGGCAACACAACTTTGTGTCGTTCACCCCAAATAACATATTCGATTCCACTTACTATGGACTAGGAGCCCTCTGAGTTCTTCTTGCATGGCGTCATTGACTTTGGCAAAGTGTTCATATTTGCCATCCTCGATGTGTCTGGTGCCCTCAGCTTCTTCAGCCATGGTTGCCGATTCCTTGACAGGGTACAAGAACCGACTATAGAATATTTAAAGCACACAAGTAATACTATAAAAAAAGCCATATATACATATATATACATGTATGCTGTACACTGCTTACATCAAAAGACACGGCAAAATTACATCATGAAATAGTATAAAAAAGACAGAGAAGTACATAATTATTTGAAATGAAGAAAACAAATCTCAGGCATAGAATTACCTGCCTTTGCCTCATTTCTAGGTTGGGCAAATTAATGCCTTAATTGAAAAAAAAACTTAACATTTATCTGAAATTTAGACGACTCTCTGATCCAACAACTCTGTTCTTCCTGCTGGACTCACCTCTCATTTGTATGGCTGGCAATGACAGCAACTCCGTTCTTGTGGCTCATCATCAAATGAGAATTGACAAATGTCATGACGTGGTCGAGACATTCAAACAGCGTCAGCTATGAGGCAAAGAACAGAATATTGAACAAAAATGCAATTCAAGCCTGGGTTATCCAGGATCTTCTCAATGCTGCAGCATCGGTTTAACAAGCTCAGCCAACTAAATTGTAGACACAGTTCCTAGGAATTAACGTTTGTTGGTTTGAGTTTGGGGAAAAATGTTTCTTTATGCTCCAGTCTACAGTAAATTCCCGATTAGTTGAGGCTTTTCTATGATATGGTTCACTTGTTTGAAACTAATAAATTGTAAAAAAAAATTAAAGGGTGGAATTGAAGGACTAAATTTCTAAAAAAAGGCGATGGAAAATAGGGGGAAGTACAGAAAGTTTGTCCTGGAGACGTGCTTACTCCTTTGTTGTTCTTGACATCCTGCAATCCCCACCACACTGGGTTGACATCCAAGACAACCACAATCAGACTACCACCTGATTCTAAAGAAATTATATTTCTCCATATTATTAAAAGTGTCTGAAAATTCCGGCGAGGCACAGATGGTACTGATATTAAGGAAAGAGTTCCACACAAGGACATCAATTAACACCCTGTGCATAAACCCTACAAAGCTGGTCTGAAACATGCTGTGTTTTCAAAGTAAATGCTTTTATTTTTAAAATTGACCTTTTAGGACATGTTACCACTTTCTGATGGCTTATAAACCAAGGGAAATAACTGATGTCCGTATTGGATGGAACTCTTACTGACGTTAATTTCAGGTAAACATGGTACTTGGTAGGCCCAGTAAAGGTGAAAGATGAGACAAAAAAAGATGTTTTATGAGGGAAAGAATTGCATACACAGACACCGCTTGACGTCCTATCCCCTTTTGAGGAGGCATTCTCTCTCTCAGGGGACTGGGTTTTTCCCAAATAAAAAGACTTCTCCAAATACAGGACAGTCCGCAAGTTGTGACGTGCGCCTCTACCTTTGCCTACTACGAGTATGAACATGTACATGTACTACGTAGCTATGTAGGCCCTACCATGACCGTGACAAACGTTGGGAAAATGAACCCATATTTAAGTCACATCGGATCTATCCACTCTCAAATAATTCACACAGGCTGTGTTCGCATATAGGCCTTGTTATCTTTCCGCGGTCCATTTTCCCTGGATTTTTACACGTGGCATATTACGTTTAGTAAAACACGCCTCATTGCTCTTCACACAAATTCGTCTGCTTACCGTCGGCCATTTTCAGCAAAACTGAAGCTTAAGACAAAATTGCCCTTATTGGACAAGCGGTGCCTTGGGTTCATTATTCAGCCAATCGGCAGCGATTTAACTGACGATGTACCAAATGCTCAATGATGAAGTGTGCAGAGTCAACAGACGTCTGCTAAGTGCTTTAGGCCTAACTTAAGTGCAAATAAAAACCACTGAAATCCGTGAAACCATCAAACTATAGCAAATCTATCCATCGAACTGGACTAGTTCTGCTGAACGAAAGAAATGAATAAGGAAGGTAAAACCTTTGAAAACTTCAACTTTTATGTATTTGGAATAGAAAGGTTAGATTTTAGAGAAAAACATTAATAATAATATTATTACTAGGCCTACTTAGGCCTATAGGCCTACCGGTACCCAGTACCAAAACTGAAATTGACATGATTGAAAAAGCTGATGAACATTTCTTGTAAGCCTTATCACTAATACTACATGGGTGCTTTCGCACAATGGTAGAAAGGCATTGTGGGAAGAAAAAGGGGAAACGTTTGCTCTTTTTTCCTTCCCACAATTGCCTCGTATGCATAACCTTTTGTGCCAAAAAGACCCCCTTCAGAATGCACGGCTGAAGTTGCTGTGCACAGATGACCTTGAATTCCGGTAGCTCTGTGGAGAGCTGGTTCACATGTACATCCTGTTTACGGCGTGTACACGTAGGCACGTGTGCATCCATGCATGAGCACCCACGGGATAGTCATTGCCAGCCGAGCCACAAGTAACGCCAAATTTAGATGGGTACGTCTGTCTAAAAGAAAGACGCACGAGCATTTACCTGAACCAATCACAATGATTCTTACATCATTAGGTAGGTAAAGGCTTGCCGAAGAAACAATTTTTGGAACTAAGCCATACGGTTGCGCTGTCAAATAATTCAATGAGTTAAAGTTAGGAGTTGTGTGCAAAAAAAGATTTCACACTGGAAATGAGCCCAATTTTGACAAAAAATGTGACATTTGTCATGAAATCTGCGAGCCTAAATAATAACGAATATCATTTTATTGGCTATTTTCTGAACGTATAGCATCTTAGCTTCGTGCTCATGCAAGAACTAAAAGCTGACGTGAAAATTATTTGACAATGACGAAAGATTTTTAAAAAGTCCATTTTGGGGGGCAGTTTTTCCAATGACATGCAGCGGGAAGTAAACTCTCGCAGGCTTAGTTCCCTAAAGGATTTGATATGTTCTGCCATTGTGCAAAATCACCCATCATGCAGTATTCAAACCATCCTGCCCATAAGAAGTAGGCCTATAAATCATCATGTTAGGTTTCACATCATTTGACTGAGTAAATGATAAGTGATTATTTTAATAAAGTCCAGGGTCACCACTCAGTCTGTAAGAGTTTGTGTCTGATAAGTCATACAAACATCTATTAATTGCAAGTTTAACTTTTGATTTCATGTGGTACATTTTTTTTGGGGGGGGGTGTATTGCAGAACTTAATGATCTTGTACATGTAGTTGTGCTTATTTTCAGCATTTATTTAAATGAAATTATTTGTGCTTCTGAATTTAATGTGGCTTGTGAGCAGATGCATTACAATACTTCCAGCAATGCATGGAGGAGAACGCAGACATATCCAGTGCCGTGGCAGCCATCCACACTCTGATTGAACATCTTAAACTTAGTCCAGGTGAGACGGCAAAAGATACTTGGAAATGTTGGCACTATCAAGTCTGTGATCTTTGTTGTACCAAGACTGTTATTCCATCAACCTGCTTGAAGTCTGTAGTCTGTGTACGTTCGCCCAAACACTCAGGACTGACTAAAGACTGCTTACAAGAGGTCCCAAAATCGAAGACAGTGAAAATGTACCACAAAAAAAACAGAAGACTGCATAAGAAACAACTGGTCCAGTACCCTATGGTACTGTTTCTGCACATCCTGTCCATAGACATAGTACTTTACTGAATGGGTAGCTTTGCAAAAATATATATATGAGCTGCCTAGTCATAGGTGTATCAGTGGAAAAGCCACCTTTAAAAACTGCCTTGAAACCCCAACCTGGCTGGCGTAATGCCGAGGACGTTATTTGCCTCGTAGAAATTTCAGGGGAACTATTTTAGCTGGTACGGAGTGACCCAAGCTGGCTTGATTTTGTTTGGCATGTTTTTCTACACTGAAGGTCTTAGTCTGAGTGGCCTTGTACAGTTTTTACACCATGAGTTTGCTTTGCTTGTCTGCTGCAGCTGGCACCTTAGCTGGTCTGAGGGAGAGTTTGAAAGACTGCATCGGCTGGCTGATGGAGACAGATAACTCAGTCACCTCGATATCATCAGGATGTGAGCTCTTCCTGAGGTTTATCACACTGACGGCTCTTGATCAGACGGTTGGTGTAGCTAGTCATTCAGTTTGAAAACAAACTCTACTGGATCCACCCAAACCGAGCCCCCCCAAAATCTCTGTCTCCTCTGTTGACGTTGTTTATCTGTTCATTGCAGAATTTTCAAGAGAGCAAGAACATCTTGGTGGAGAGAGGTAAAATGTATTTACAGAAAGTCGCAGGCTCAAGGGACAAGATTGCGGGCCTGGGAGAACCTTTCATCAGAGATGGATGTGTAAGTCCTCTGTTCACTCTGGTTCTACAGGGCGGGGTCACATCAGGAAATTGATCTCTGAAAACTTGAGGTCACATCACCCTCTCACCCCCCTCACAAAGGAGGTTGGTTGCACGGCTTTTAACATGCTGGTGCCTTCAATCCTGGGGGAAAATGGTGACATTCAGAACCTTGGGGGGAGGGGAAGATAAGCCGTGAGGGGAGGGGGGAACAACTTGATACGCTGCTGTTGGTAGGGTCTGCCTGCATAGTTCATACCCAGTTTACCTCCCCTATCTTGAGCCTTCATCCACTTGTGCTTAATTTTCTTTCTGATCAACACATGGCCAACATTGTCAACTTCCTCAAATGTACTAGTTCTGCACTGTGGGTAGTTCTGCACTGTGGGTTTACTCAGGTCTTAAAATGCCAGCTGATATGTTAGATATATCAAGGTATGTTTTTTTCTGTTATATGTGTTTTCAAGAATGCTCTTTTTTCCTAAACAATGAAAAAAATTTGTCTCATATGTTGTCCTGCAGAGCATTCTTACACACTCGCACTCCCGTGTTGTCTTCAAGACCTTAATGGAGGCAGCAGAAAATAAGAAAAGATTTAACGTCTTCATAACGGAGTCCTGCCCTGACAGATCAGGGTAAGTCACACTTTCGTTTCAGCTTCTTGAAGTTGTTTTCCCCACCGTTTGAATCCTTCAGCGTCATCTAGTTTGTGATGATTCTCACCCAAGTATTGTCCACTTTAAATATGGAAATGTGAAACTGTTAATTGCTTTTTTGGTTTGTACATTCTGACTTTCAGTGGAATCCAACTTTTTGTAAAGGTTCTAAGAAATAAAAGTTGGACTTTAGTTTAAGGATTAGTCAGAGGACTGCAACATTATTGGTTTTGTTGTTTGTTCCAACAGAGAGTTGATGGCCAGGAAGTTGCGAGAAGCTGGTATTCCCGTTGTCGTCATACTAGATGCTGCAGCAGGGTAAGAATGACCACTTTGGAATGCTCAGTTAGAGACCTTATACGTCAGTTTGCAGGCCCTGAGAACACCTGTCAATTCCTAATATCTAATCACTTGTTCACCTTCATGAAACAAGGAGAAGTTTACTGAATGATTGTCAAAGTTGCCAGATTCAACTTGAGAGCTTGGTATATGTTGTTGCCGTGAACATTGTTTGGCAAAATTTTTCTTTATTGTCAGATATATCATGGAAAAGGTTGACCTTGTCATGGTAGGGGCAGAGGGAGTGGTTGAAAGCGGTGGCATCATAAACAAGGTGGGCTGCCTTCTTTGTTATCAACTGGGTTGGGTTAGGTTCAGATTGCTTACTGCAGATCCTAAAGCCATCAACCCAAGGATAACAACGTGAAGAGACAACGTGATGCAATCATTCATACTTGATCAAAAGAATTCTCAGCGTCAAGAGTGATTCACACAATCTCTTGGAAGTTACTTCAGAAATTCCTGTTATCACACAAGTCCCTCTAGAAGTCAGACATTCCAACTGGTACCATCCCTCAAGCTTCATCCAGTTTCTGATCTCTTTTCAGGCCTTCTTGTTTCTCGACGCATTTCTTGTTACAGATTGGCACATACCAGTTAGCAACTTGTGCCAAGATAGCCAACAAGCCATTCTATGTGGTGGTTGAAAGCTTCAAGTTCGTGCGGTTCATCTACCCCCTTAACCAGCAGGATGTGCCAAATGAGTATAAGGTAGTCACCCTCAACCTCTCATTGTGTCTCGCGAATGGAAGAGCAGAGACATTACGCTGCATACAGAACAGATCACAATATATTGCCCATTGTGGGCTTCTGACAGACCCATCAAATCTGTTTAAATCTGCAGGAAGGAAAAAGAGCGTGTAGCTGCCTGCTGCTCATTTTCTTCATGTTACTGAATCCTGCAAAATGAGTCTTAGAACCACACTTTCAGTAAATTGCTTCTATTCACATTAGAAGCTACTGCTTGGCTCCTCGTGTTAATTAATCTCTTAGTGTGGCGTACTAGAGAAAAGGACATAAGGTGGGTGAAAATGTTGAGGGTTCCTGCTAATTTATTGGGAGCAAGATTATTCTACAGGTGTTGACGGCACAGTTGGTTATGGCAACTTAGGACTCATTTTGTTAGGCTGGGTCACTATCAGTAACAAGGATAAACACTTGTTTTTCTTCCAGTACCACGCCTCGACGCTTAAATCAACCTCTGACCTGAGCCACGCCCACCCACTGATTGACTACACACCTCCAGCCTACATCACCCTCCTCTTCACTGACCTGGGGGTCCTGACACCGTCTGCCATCAGTGACGAACTCATTAAGCTGTACTGCTGATGACACTGCGTGAAGGCACAGGCCTGGCTCGTGTGTGGAGCATGGGGCTTTGTGACTGTACTGATGGTACTATTTACATACATGCTGGACAGAAATGGAGTCTTATGTCATCGTTGTCATACGCTGTCGTCTTAGCCAGTGTCTCTCTCCACTCACGTCTTTGTGGGTCTAGAGGGATACCAGCGATTATACACTGCATTTGTATGGATAAACATCAGTGTGGACTACCAGCTGCCATAATTTGAGTTACTCAGCAATACTCTGCTTCTGCTTCTCCGTGCTGTCTTTCAAAAGTTGCGGCATGGATCGTGGAAAAAGAGAGTGCTTGCTGAAGATCACATTTAGAGACTTGAACATTACATTTGAGTTTTCTTTATGCTATTAAAAAGTTTCTAAAGGGATGAACATGTTGTGCTTGAAGCGAGGACACATTTAAAATCCAGCCACTTGGCCAGTGGAACAACCCCATGAAGGGAAATCATTTCTTTTTGTTCGAATAAGAATTTGCAATGGAGCTCCATATGCAGCATAAATGAGGGCAAAATCATTCTCTTCTTTTTAAGTTGTTGGTATGCATACGATACATTTAATGTAAATGCACATGCACTTCAGCACAAGGAGAAAATAAACACGGTACAGTATGTGAAATGTTTCCGCATGGAGAAATAGAAAGCCCTCCATGGTTTCATTAAGTCTAAAGCCCTCCATGGATCCGGGTGCTTTTAAAAATGCAGTGCACACGTACAATGTACGGGCAATTTTCAAGATTTTCAGTTTTCAAAATTCTTCAAAAATTCATCATTTCATTTAATGGACGTTTACACCCACACGAATGACTGTTTGGTGGCTACTCTCAGCTTACAGGTAAACTTCATTGACTCCTGAGTATTTCAGCCAGGCCTGCTGACCTGTAAAGAGAGCCCAGAATTGTGAGGTGTTGCATAATTTCCTTTGTCCCCAGTGAATGCGAGTGGCATCTTTTCAAACACGGTTGGATTAGCATGTAGCGGTGCTGTGTCACTCATCACTGGGGCCCTGGAGCACTTTTGTCCATGGTGCTAATTCACGGGTGCGCTATGCCCAAAACAGTGACAGATGACCTTCGAAAACTGCACGCCGAAATATGATGGCAATTCCCAGCGGCAGGTCTTTTGTTACATGGACCAGCTCTTTTGTCCCACTTTGGGCACCCCGGCTCTGCCTATGAACCCATGGTGCTCGAAGCGGGGTTCCCCGGCAGCAAGTGGTTAATAATGACAAAAGAATACAACCAGCCGAGCTCAGTGCATAACATGGCGAATGTCACACTATCTTCCTTGGAAAGCCCACAAAAGCTAACTCCAAAGTATTATGTAATTTCACAATATGTTATTTTCACAATAATGGCACTGGCACGTGGCTATTAAAGCTGAGTTCCAAACTACTGTCGGGGCTACCTCATCCCTGCCAGGATAAGCAACAATGATAACTTGTGCTGCCTTTTATTAGATTTACTTTGGGCAGTTTCAAAACTACAGTCAACTCTCATTATAACAAGCTTACAGGGACCAGACAAATTACATTGTTACATAACCAGGACTTCGTTATAAGAGAAACACGAAAACAAAGAAAAACATCAGAATTTAAGAAATTGAGATGCTCAAAATATGTTCTTTATAATAGTATTTTGGTATAACAGTTTTCTTTATAACGAGAGTCGACTGTAGATGCATTTACCTTGTCTCTCATAAAAGATCTTTCTTGAACTTTTTGCTTGAATAGGACCACAGCAGCTTAGAACCATTAGTCAAAATGCAGTAAGGGGGCACTTCAGTAGCCTTGCATGATGCTTGGCAAAAACAATGTGAGATCCCAAAAAAGTATCGAAGATGCATTAAAAACCAGATAATGCTCAAAGGTACTTTCCCTCATCAGTGGTTTTCTGACAATCAATGGGTGAAATCCCTACTATATTTACAGACAATGTTCTTGATCTGAGTGATTTAACAATAATTAAACTAGCGTGTCTCACTGTTGAAGTTTTATGGCATTAACCATGTGACAACCCACACATCATGAAGGTCTATACTTCCACTCTGGAGGCTTCGGACTCCTGTTTGGTTTAACATACTCCAAGTAGTCCTCGTAAAGTTCCAGTCGCGAGTCGTCGCCGTAGTTCCAGTGAATCTTCAGATTTGGCGGCAGATCAACAGTGCTCAGTTCATCAAATTTTGTCTTGTCTTTGACCTCGGTCTCATAGAAGGTGATGACGTCCTCCACAGTGTGCATTTTGCTCAGGAGAAAATTGGGGATGTCGTGCTTGAATTCAGTGAAGCACTTGACAAGGATCTGGGGAGAGATAACGTTCTGTGTAAGGCAGATTTTGGAGCCCACAGAATGGTCCTTAGCAAGATCCCTTGGTAGTTACAGTTACATTGCACTTTGATAGCCAACTGGACCATGTCAGAGTGAGCACGATTATAGAAAATTCCCTCATAGCAACTCAAGCAATGGATGTATCATTTCTTTTACTTTGCCTGTTAATAAACATCCAACCTCATACGGGAAGAGGTTTAAGATCAGTGTGATAGCACATCTTAATGACCAGCTGAATTTGGGTCCTTGCATTTGATTTACAAATGAGAACTCAAACCTGGTATTTGGTGCTGTTGTCCTTCAAGGACACCTCCTTCCAATTTTCAGAAGTAGCATCTGGAACAACCTCTAATGTGATGTCATGAAGTCTTTTTACAAGGTCATCTGGAGGTTGGTAGCTTTTAATTCGAACCTGAGGTCTTAAAATACACCAAAAAGACTGCTTTTCAACTAAAATATTTTTTAAAATTGATCTTAATGTACCTTTAAATTGCAGATTTCTGCTGACGGGTATGCAAATTCTATTTTATCCAGTGAGTGAAAACTGAAAACCACAATTTTTCTCTGGCCTTAATAATCCACCTGCTGCATATATATGGGAAATTACACTTGGAATTATAACTGGGCTTTAAAATCACAGTGTTTAAATCCTGCCAATTGAGAAAGAAAAATGTTCCTCTTTACATATCTTACACTGTGCGAATCATAAAGCTGTAAAGTCATGCTAAAAACTTCTTTTGTGCAAAACAGTTCTTGAGCAAGGTTGAAAATGAAACATTTTAAACCTAAAGAGCAACATCAGGAATTCATTAACATAATTCCTATGACAGCAGAAACATACTGTTTGAACAAGTTGGTTTACACGATACCCTAGTCCCTACTTTTCAATGAATGTGGCCTTTGGTGTCTGTATGATGTCCATGTACTGGGGCTCCACCTCCACGATCTCCTCCTCATCCAAAGTATCGTCGATGTCCTTGCTCGGACCACTCCCCCGCAAGATTCTCCTCACCCACGACTGCTCGGTGGTCCTGAACTCATCTCTGGCAACGACACTGCTTGTACTTAGCTGGATGGAAAAGCCAAATAAAAAAGCACTTGTTAGCTTGTTAATGAGCAAATGCTGTATGTGCATCATTTTGTGTACAAGCTTCAAACAATTTTTGGACATTAAATCATGCTCATCGAAATGTCAGTGCAACCCAAATGTATAATTGTCTGACATGTCTGAAGAGGCTCTGACTTGGATACAATGTTTGATAAGACCCATCTCAAGTTATGAATCTGCAAAAAAAAAGTGGCTCATAGTCATACATGATATAAAAACCGGACCATCAAACTCACTTTTAAACAAAAATTCCCCCCAAAAAGATGCTGCCCACCCACAAAACCTTTTTCTTTCAAACAAGAAGCACAACTATCATGACTATTAATTATTTTGTTTGGCCTAACTTCACAACCATGGCAACAACCGTCCACAGTCCGCATCATCCTGATCTAGCCCCACTATGTGGCACGGACTCTCACTCCCGCCACAGTGGTGCTAATCCTGATCATGCTAAACAAATGCTCGCACAGGCCTTCTTCATTTGAAGTAAAATACATGAGGAACAACAGGTTACTCCTCATTTAAACATGCTTGTAATATTATAAACTGTGTTTTACCATTCGCTTAGGACTACATACAGTCGAATATCGAATAATTTTCGGCCAAATCTTTCCTAACACTACCGAACAGGAGAGCGCCATGTGCGCCGCCATTTTGATTTTGATGATCGCTCCCAACCACCCTATGCCTTTTTCAACAATAACTGCGATCGTCGAATGGGGTGACCCGACTATAAAAAATAGTCTTAGGCGAATCTAATTATCTGATAAGGGTAGGGGTGGTCTTTTAAAGGCAAAGTATTTCAAGATATTTATAAAGAACAGTATTTGCGTTGTTTGACAATAAAAGAGACGATAATCACTTAATAGTAATGAGCTATACAACCAATGAGAATTCTGTCAAAATGTCATTACTGTAAAAATCCAGTATCGGACTTGCACCTAAACAAAGAGATGGATTAGGCCAACTACTCAACTACACATGGATATGCATGCAGAGCACAGCACCAGAGCAAGTTGTTGTACTGTGTGGTACGGGGTGCAAGCAGCTCGGATGCATAGTGATACACTGTTCACTGATATTTTATGCTCTCGGCGCCCACAACTTAGTTCATTGTTGTTTCACCACTACCAGAAGTAGCACTGTCGTATTTGGTCATGAAACCTTTGTGAATAAGGATAATTACAAATAACAAATGGTAAGATTTATTAAGTTGGGTGAAATAACGAACTGAAGTTCTAGTCATGCTAGTTAGTCAGCCTCAGATGTTCAGTAGGCATTAGCCGAAACAAGCTGCTACAAATCACAAAAGTGCTGCTAGTGCTACAGTCAAATTTCAACAGGCATTCAGCATGTTCAGACTTGTCTGTATTTCTTGAAACGTTTCCGACAGAAGTTTGGGACCATTTGACCATGTTCACTTTTTGAAAAAATTGGAACTTTTGCTCACCGATCTCTCATTTTCGACATGATGACCTTCCACTTGGGTGATTATATAAATTAGAGGTCCAACTTGGGGACATTTTGGTGTTCTGTTACGGGTGAAACCATTTAGCTTATCTGGATGGAACTAATATTAGTACTGTTCACATTCAGTAGATATAACAGTATTACATGGTTTATGACGTGTACAATACTTCTTCGGTCTCCTTTCTGGCTGGGTATAACAATATACTGTTCAGTCTGCACAACGTTTGATAATGTTGGTACAGTTTTACATGAAGAACAGTTGAATGGCTTCACGTGTAACGGGACTCCAAAATGTCCCCAAGTTGGACCCGTAATTTATAGAATCACCCACTTACTGATGTTAGGGGTTATGTTCTAACCTGCATAACTCTGCACATGCATTGACTCGACGGCAAACCACAGCTACATGTGTGGAAACCTCCGTGTTAATTTCATTGAATTGTCTGTTTTTCAGACCTATGGATTCCCTAGTGACTCTTGACAATAGTTGGGTTTAAGGTCTAGGGATTAAACTGCTGATCCAGTGCATGATTGTGTAAGCATCAATTCAAAGTTTACAGTGTCAGTAATGCATTAAATTTATAAAAATTCTGTAACTTAGCAGGTATATGTAATTAATTCCTTTCAGCTATACATCTTCCGTCCATCATGAAAATGAAGTGGAGCCAGGAGGACATGGCCAATGCAGTAAGGGCAGTCCGTCAGGATAAGGTCCCTCTGCTACGAGCTGCAACCATATTCAAAGTCCCACGAAACACGCTGAGATACCGCATTGAGAATGACATCCCACTTGAGGAGCTAAAGTTTGTCCAGCGGGGCCCCATCACTGCCCTCTGTCGATCTGACGAGGAAGCCCTTGCCAACTTCATTGTTTACCTGGACAAGCATGGCTTCATGCTGCACAAAGACGTCATCAATGAGTTTGCCTTGTCCATGGCCAAGAAGGAAGGCACCCACAATAAGTTCAATAAAGGGGCTGGACCAGGAAAGCAGTGGTGGGCGGGCTTCCGGCAACGGCATCCAGAAGTGAAACTGTGGAAGCCACGCCGGAGTCACCCCAGGACACAGGCCTGTGTCTCCATGAAGAACAAAGTGAAGCGTCACTTTAAGACACTGAAGAAAATCCTTGACGAGCACAACGTCAGGGACAGAAAGCGAAGGATCTTCAACTGTGGGGAGTCTGGTATAGAGGTGGATCTTCCATCTCGTTCAACAAGGAGTGGACGAGGAGCTGGAATTGTGGAAAGCAAGGAACACATCAGTGTGCAGCTCTGCGTGACGGCGTCTGGAGAGGCTCTCCCGCCCATGATTATATTCAGTGGGAAACGTCCTCCCAAGGGTAAGTGCATCCAAGGTGGCCCGCCGGGAACCCTGTATGCCCATTCCAAATTGGGCTTCCTGAATGCTGAGCTCTACCTGCTCTGGTTCAAGGAAATTTTCCTCAAGTACGTGACTTTCCGCCCTGTCGTGCTGATTCAAGAAGGAACAACCTGTCACCTGACTCCAGAGATAGTCCAGTGCGCACAGGAGAATGATGTTGTCTTGTACTGCATCCCAATGGGCACATCGAGTGTCTTGCAACCCCTGGAGGTGAGCATCATGGAGCCACTCAAAGAAGAGCTGAAGAGAACTGTTGCTCAGCTCCAAGAGTGCAGCACTGACCCAGGCCCCATCATCACCCGCAATAACTTTACCTCGGTTTTCAGAGAGCCCTTCAGCAACGCCATGATGAAACACATCATCCGAAAGGGCTTCAAGAAAACCGGGATTTATCCGTGGGATCCCAAACGCATCGGCAGTGATGAGAAGACAGAAGGAGCACAACATGACTCGCAAGTACATGTAAAAGAGGAAGAGATGGGCACTGTTCATGTGGACATATCTGAGGTTCCAGAGCCGATCCGAGGTCCAGACAACCAGATCATTGAAATGATCGTCACCGCAGACGATGTAGACTCAGGAGCGGTAGTGATTAACCAGGTCATGGACATGGTTGTGTGTTCTACAGAGCCTGAGCAGGAAGAGATCAAAGCCAATAAGGAAGTGCAGTCAATATCAAGTGATGACCTTGATGATTTCTTGGCCGAAGATGAGGACTTGAGCGAGACAGATTTGGAGTCATCGGAGGAAGAAGATGATGTGAATGTTGTTGTAGATTAGCAGCTTGTTTGCAAATGCACTCAGTTTATAAAAATTAACCTCGGCATTTACCCTAACTCCACAGGCATTCCAGTTCCAGAGAAACCCCCACCACAGAAAAACGAAACAGCCAACAGAAAGCCCAATGAAAAGTACGTGTAAAAGTGTTGGGCCGTACCTCGTTCCACATTACCTGATGGATTTTTGAAAGATCTGTTAGGGTTGGGTTAAATCCTACAGAATCTATCAATATCCAACACTTCTGTTATGCAGTAAACCGTGGAACTTTTGTCCCAGCTGATGGACTTGTACTCCAGAGGCATTTCATAACTGGATTCTTTTTGAATCAATAGGGTGTCTAGGCTTTGGAGAAAACCTCAACAGAATCACAGCTGTTCATGTTAAAGACATTTTTGAGTGGCTTTTGATATTTTCAACCTGTTCTTTTAGCACTAAACTTGGCAGTATCCAGTGTATTTCAGCGATAACTTCTGATATATTGTCAGTATTCTGCAATCCCATTTGTCTTGAGCTGTCCATGTTTAAACTACAGTGTGCTCCTGAATCCCCATCAGTGCTGGATTGTTCACTTAATAGCTTTTCGCAAGCTACATGTAATCATACCTTAGTTTAAGATAATAATGATCCTTTTCAAGACTTCGTACCACTCCAGCATACAAACAGTAGTGGAAACGGGAACAGTGTTTGTAATGTTAGTTACCGGTACTTTGCCAGGAGAGTGAGAAGACTCAAATTTGCAACACTAACTGTACAAAATAGTTCTAAAATGGAAACAATCCTGAGATGTGCATAAATACATGTAGTGACTGTGAGTGTTGTAAGAATAATCTCATGAGGCAAAAGATGCGATGCTCCATTGGACAGATGTGAAAGTGAAACATCCATTATTTATTCAGTACAATTATAAATCCTTCCAACGTGTATATGTACTGTACAAGTTAAGAAATCCCTTGTGTCCAAGCAGTGGAATCAACATTTACCAGGATAGGGAAACTTCTTGCGGAGCGGCCGTGCCTTGCATTGGGGCGAATAAGTCATGGACAAATTCAGATAAGTAGCAGGGTTCATATAACAGGAATTTATTCAAGGAGTTGTACAATAAAGTTGGACAGTGGATACTGAAATTAAAGTGAACTTGCTGAGGAGCTTGTAATGTAAGAGTATTTGCAGGGTGTTTTTTGATTAAACCAGAATTTGAACACAAAAGGCCTTAGCAGATTTTGGGTGTTTGTTTTATTGTGGTTTGTGGGTTTTTGTTTTTTCATTTTTTCATGTTCAGCATATCTGTGGGATTTGATTTGTTGGGAATTTATTTTGAATGGTTTGAAGCGGGTTGCAGAGTGCACAAATTATTTTCTTGAAGCATACATGTAATAGCATGTATAATTACATTTGTTGAACATACACGGACTTTAGTAGGAATTTTGTTTGGTTTTGAGTTTATTCATGTACAAGAAGATTTTTCAAACCAAGTGATAATCTTTCTTTGAAAATCCTTCTCACCCCAACTTTTTTACGTAGGCACATACTGTAGGTTTTACTAGTCCTAGTCTTCATGTTGTCAGTGAGTCTTCCACAGAATTAGGGGAAATTGGCAGATTGGTGTGGGGAGCAAGGAGGCCATGGCCCCTCCCCATAAGGAGAATTTGTTTTGATACAGGTTTTTTTTTCTAGATTATTTTATTTCTCTTTCAAAGGTGAGTAAAATCCCCCAAAGCAGTCTCACCCCTCTAACAGGTGATAAAAAGTTGCATAAAATTTCCCAAATTCCAAGCACCCTTGTTAGGTTTTACAAAAAGAGAGTTTGAGGACACCAACAACTGAACTGGTCAAGGTGTGCCACGGTATCACAACTATTTTAAATATAACTTAAAGTTGTCGGCAGGAGGAGATATTGCAGAGTTAACTGTATGAAAAATGTAAAGAAGTATGTGAAATAAACGTATGTATGTTTATATTTGTCTTTGGTTATCCAGAAAAGTAAATGGATGGGTCATTTTATTAACCACAATGTAAGATTAAAGAATGTGAGAACCTGCAGTCTTAGTGCAGATGTGCCGAACTTGAATTTTTCTTTCAGTAAATTGAAGTTTTCTGTTAAATTTGCTTGAATTTTGAGTGCAAAAATTTGTATGGTATATAAGAACTAAGCAGCTTTCACTACTGGAAAGTAATAAGGGACTGTGTTCTTTTCTTTTGGGGGGATTTTGTATCTTTGGTGCAAAGGTTTCATTATTTTGGTACTCGGCATTTTACAACCAGGCCATTGTTAAGCATGTCTACCATCAACCTCGTTCTTTGTGTGACTATCTGGATAAATATGTACAGCACTTGGTAGCAAAGCCCTGACGACGAGGATATAAGGCAAACAACCTTCAACCTTCTCCATTGGTGTGCTGTAAAGTGTAAGTGTTCCGGAACGTAAAATTTTGAACAAATCTTTTGTGTTTTGAGGAGCTCATCTAATGAAATATGTGATTGTTTCCATTGGTATATTTTCATGTGTGGTATAAGGTCCTTTTTGTTTGTGTAATGAGGCCTAGGCCTACCCCCAGAGTACGGGATTCGTCATCCGCACGACGACCCGGTACCCCACATTACAGCCATATGGGGTAGCGCATATCCCCTCCTTCCTCTATGTTGCAACTACAACTTAAGCCCACAAAGCCCGAGAGTTGATGGGAAAGGGACTAACGAGACGGTAGACATACACGGGGCCTACTTCCTGAGCTTTAGAAATCCTAAGGCAAAACCCTGACATGCCTGAGTGTGGGATTTGCCTTTCAGTTTTGGAAGTACCATGTACTGATGTAGGCCTACCAGTATTTATAACATCCAGGCAATGCCAGAGCAGGAACTTCGTTCTTGAAAGGCATGAAAATTTCATGAGAAATTGCCTTGCCCATTCATTGAAAGGGCAAGGCAATTTCTCACTTACAAAGGGCACTTGTAATAAGAAAATCAACTTGTCTATGGGAACATTTCAGTGGGCCAATGGCATTAAGCATGTCAAGGTAATTGTCTCTGATGCCTACGTGAAGAACATCTGTGACTATAGTATAGTCATTAGGTCCCTATAGAGCCTGAAAGTAAAAGGCCACTCAGCGAGCTTCTGGAACCCTTGCGCGGCCCACCTATGGGGATTTTACATTGGGCAGTCCTATCACATTCCATAATTTTTGGAAAAATAAGTCCTTACAGAAACCACCCCATGAAACGCTCGTGTTGGAATTTTACCTTTGTCATAAGTAATATTTAGGAAAAGTCACCTGGAGATGGGTAAAAAACAAATTTTACTCACAGCTTTTCACGTCCGGCGATATCATACCTACTGTAGGTCTCCTTGTTCATGCACGTTTATTTTCACTCGCCGTGCTTTCTTGAAAACGAGATTGTACAACCTTGCAAAGATTTACATACGTGCAGTCAATTGGTTCCAGGTTCCGTTTAGTTGACATCAAGCGTTTGTTGTCAGCAAAGGTTAGATAAAATATTAGAATCTTTTGTAAAAGTGGAATATTGCTTTATGTTTATTACCTTATAAATTATCAAACTGGGCAAAATATTTTGATCGTTTTTTTTTTGTGGTTGTACCACTGGAAATATGAACAAAACTGGGTTGTGAGCATCATTGCTTTCTAGTTCATCTGAGTTGTTGCGAAGTAAGTGTTTGAGATGAACTGTGTTTGACCCAGATGATGCCATCAAGCACAGGTTGCGCCCAGTTAACATTATTTTGTCTAACAGAAAAGCTGTGGAACTCCAGTCGCTGAACTAGTTGTACAAAGTTTCTTAGCATAGTGTACATGTATCTACCGTACTCACGGGTGTCGCTAGACCATTTTGAACGGGGGGGGGCGCCACATGGAATTTGCTGACAAATTTTCAAGCAAAACAAGTGTACTGTAGTCTGATTCCCCAGCTCGACATCTACATACATGTACTTGTACCCGACATTTTTTATTTTGCTGACAGACTATGATTTTGCCGATAAAACTAACCAACTAGCGACGCCCGTGACTGTACTCATATTGAACAAGAGAATTTGGGGTTATAGCCAACAAAGACACTTGCACGCTGTTATCTTGGCTATCATCTATTCAAGGCTGGTCTTTTTCTCTGGCCACCAAAGAAGAAGCTTCATTGGCTGTGCTGTTGTTTCCAATGGCAGAGACAGGAGTTGACATATTGACATCCTGTCTATGCGATCGCCAAGAACAGTACAGTTACACATCATGCAACCAAACATCTTAATTTAACCTTGCGTTTGCAATTCTTTGGTTGTAATTGACGTGCGGCTTTTTTGGTTCCCTCAACTTCAAGTGCCATAATTATTTGATTTTGAAAAAGCAGTAGCAAATTTATTTCCAAAGTTACCATGGCAACTGTCTGTGTATAATATTAGAAGTGGTCAGGAACCTTGGTAACTATGGAAACATGAAATCATCCACAGGAGCCTTTTAACAGTAGGTCATTGAAAGCACCCAAGATGGATAGCAACATGGATGAACGTGACATCGAACCACCCAGCAAAAAATCGAAATTAGAGTCACAACACGTCAGGGCAACAGAAGTGGATATAAGTGGTCCTTGGTTTCGAGACATGCCATTTGGAGAAACAAGCGGTATCCAGCCCCATCTCTTTCATGGGACAGGAACGGAAAGTCTGACAGTCGAGGGGTCCACTCACCACACCAACTTCCAGGTGCTGGATGAGTTTGTCACCGATGACTTTGACGACCAAGAAGACGAAGATGATCTCTCCAAGGAGGACAACGAAGATGGATTCAGCTTGGACAAGACTTTTGAGGATGAGGTTGAAAACGAAGAGGAGGGGGACGATACAGACAGTCTGGGCAGCGAGATTGAAGCTCTCCTGGATGAGGGACTTCCCGAGATGTACAACAAGGAGCCAAAGAGGAAACGGGGACTGGCAGCCGAGGCAGACACAGAGGCAAGCAAAGAGATAGACCCGTCCTTGCCCGAGGGAGTTGTTGGTGTCAGAACTAAGACCATTTTACGGAGTGAGTATTCACGTGATTCCGACCGGGTAGTCTAGGGTATTTAATAAATCATGATTTATGGAAGCTGGTATGGGATAGCTATCTTGTTACAAGCCGCAGATTTAGTAAATGTGAGCAGAGGCAGAGGAAAAGCGATAGCCGTGTTCGGTTTGTAGCCGCTGTTACACTATTATCATCTGAAATTAGATCATTGTTTGATGTTGGTATCAGAGTCGGAGTGACAGCGATGCATGAGATATTTATATTTTTTTTGGTATGGTGAGTACCAAAACTTAGAACTTCTGTCAGTTATTTTCCATAAAATGCCATCTGCTTCCAAGAAAATCTGACAATGATAAAGTGTCTGGCCTGCCAAATCCAACTGGCCGTGGTAACAGGTCATTCCTTGCTCAGATAATGAGCACATATTCAACAGATACATGTATTGCTAGCCGATTAATTTTGTTGGATTGTGAGATTGGATTATAAGGAAGTCTTCGGAAGAGAAAACATCCCATGCTAAGCCCAACAAAATCCAACAGTGAAAAATGTCCGGGGTTCTTTTTGATCACGAAGTGAAGGAAATGTTCATTTTAGGGTTCTGACCACTGTAACATTTATGAAAGCATTTAATGTTTGTTAAATCAGGGCGGGGTCAGACACCTTTAGAGGGTCTACCAGACGGCTGGATTTCTATCATCCATGAATGTGGTATGCCCCTCTACCTTCATCGGCCATCCAGAGTCTGTACGTGGTCAAGGCCTTACCTGCTGGGTGCTGGAAGTGCAAGGGTAAGCTCTTCATAGCAGTAATACCTACGTTTTTGTCCGATTTTTTTGTCCAAATAGCTACATTTCTGTGTTGATTGGGTACAGGTTGGTCCATTCTGGACAAAACTCAAGAATTTTGATATATGACATCCATTCAAAAATGGGAGTGAAGTTTGTGTTACACACTAAACTGTGAAAAAGAAATGCCAGAGAGACGTGCTTCAAATGGCAAAACAGTCGGGGATGTCTCTTGGTGAGATCTCTCAACAGAGCACTGGCCATAACCTTGGAATCGTTGGGCATCTGGGCCCAATTTAATGGCACTACTTACTGCCGAATTCCACACTTAGGGTCTCCATTCTGCGCTAACGGCGCTAGCAGAAAAATTCTGTGCTAACCGGTTAAGTACAGAATCCTTTGATTACAGGATGTAGGCATGCGCACCAAGCAAAATTCCTTGCCAACCTGTGAAATACATTCGCTGTAAGCACAGAATTTCCTGCTACGGTAAGTGCCGATCGTTCGCTTGCGGTAAGCAGCGCCGTAAAATTGGGCATCTGAACATGCCTGATAAAGCAGAGAATCTTCCATTGGTTTGCAGAAACACAGACCCCCTCTGGCAAGCATCCCGTGCCTCCACTACAGGAGGGAGAAAGACAAGGAGACGGCATCTCAACAAGACAGCAAACAGGGTGCTGCAGTCGGGGTACCAGACATAAACAAAGAGATTGCCAATGACCAGCCACAAGCTGATCCGGCGGGTAATGGTCGCTGTAGTGTTTTAATCTGAGGGTAAACCTGACAGAAATTATATCATGGCACTTCCACCCTGGCTCATGCGAGTGCAGTGTTCTCCGTGGCCTTAACAGCCCTGGAAAATTTTAGATTCTAGATGCTCCATGGGACAATCAAGGTATTTCCTGGGAATATTCAAGTCTTCAAACATTCAGCGCAGCCCTACTAGACTGGGTGTAAGGGGGGTGATACACCCACATTAGGACGTGGTAGTGTGTGCTGGGATGTCAGATGGTGCCCTGCCCATTCCCTTGCTTTTATCCCCCAGTCTCCAGTGGATATTACTGAAATTGCAGGAGTGATTTTTCTGAATATACCTGCAGTGGAAATATCTGACTTTTCCATGCCTACAGCGCGCAGAGATCAGGAGGATTTGAACCCTTGACTCATCATGTCCACGTCAAAAATCATACAAATGTTACCTTAGAGACTAACGTCACGATGTAATCCCAATGAAAGAGTCTGCTGAATCGGGGCGTCAGGCCCTCTAGCATTTGATTTGTATGTTCCAGGTCACTGTTGTTTTTGGATTGTTTTTGGATTTCACGTCCGAACCTCATTCAGACAGAGCTACTCTGTTCACTTATTTTGTCCCATTGATATAATTCATTTTTCCAGATTGTAAAGACGGTAAAAATAGCTTGGCTGAGGTGAAGAGACGTGACCCCTTGCAAAGCCACAACATCCACATATGTAAAGACGAATCCGTCAGTGAGTACCCGCAGGTGTTTGATTTTCTTTACAGAATTAAATGTGGCACACGTAAAGAAATCAATTGTGAATACAGTGTCATCTTCGCTTTGTACCTTTAGCGACAGAAACCTAAACAAAAATCCCTTAAATCTATCATCAGATGTGGAAAGATTTGCAGGATTTGGGGAAAGGATGACCCGCAAACCCAGTCACTAATCTTACATGAGCTCCACGCCTCCAATATACCATGAATATACAATTGGGTTCCAGCAGAGTGGAAGATTGTGGAGGATTTAGAAAGGTTACCAGTAAACTGTCCGTGACAATGGGCTTAATTCTATCATCCAGGTCATTTTGAGAAGAATTTTTGTACTTGGTAAAGCTATTGGCAGTGTTGCAATGCCCAAGTATGAACTGGATCACTGATATTGTTCTTGCAATCATCAGTTCATAAAATACTCTTCCGTAGTACAGGTGTTCAGTGCTCCAGTACCTGAGTCCAGAGACAAATTGAAGCTTTAAATATCAGATGGACACTTCTGTTCCCAAACCATGATTAAATTGCCTGCTTTGGTCCTGATAAAGGTGACACCGAAATGAAGGAGTACCTGGAGAGGCTGTTTGACTTTGAAGTGGTCTCAATAAACAAATTCAAGTAAGCTTGATGAGTAGTAGCAGTTTCTGTGAAGACTTTGTACTAGAACAGTTGTTCTGTAATTTTCCATTACACTGGTTTGCAAGGATGGTATGTTTGCAAGTTTAAGTAGATGATCACTATTCATGCTTACAGTTCATGAACACGGCTTCTTTCAGTAAGGCCTGCTGATGTCTTGGGTCAAAGTATTATTTCGGTAATTCATGTATTTCATTACTGTTTGACAAACTTGGAGACCCACAGTTCAGGACTGGATAGTTCATTTTGTGGAACGGTAGTTTGAGAATTATAGAGGTCATAGGTTCGATTCCTACTAAAGTTAATGATCTTTGCTGGAAATTGCTTGCCACATCAATTGACCCCACAAAATAACTTCCTTTTGCAGAACTTGGGCCGACAGAAGGAAATACACCAAAGAAGTCAAAGCCAAACATGAAACCATACACAGACCGCAGTTTGTGAGTAAACATTTGATAAGGCTTGCTTTATCAGAGAGAACCAGTGTTTTAGCAGTTCTGTTTAGTGCTGAGGGCCACGTTTTTCACAGTAACCCAGACATGATACACTACTGGCCTCTCTTCCTATTTGTTACTCGGTCCTTTTTTTCATTGATTTGTTTGTTCAATTTGCATATTTCAGCCAGGTCATCCAGCTGTCATCACTTGCAAGATTCCAGGGAACCAAAGAGATGGCAAAAAGGGTGAGCTTGAGTGACAGAACTAAGGAACTAAAACAAGTTCAGACTTACTATTACCAGTAGTGTTTGACCTTTCTTCCCCTTGCTCATTTCAGAGTTTGTCCTGAACACCACAAACAAGACGCCAGTCTGTATCCTCCACGAATATGCACAGATTGTCCTGAAGACTCAACCTACGTACACATTTGACGACAGTGGTAAGCTTTCACTCGTTGAAATTTGCAAGCCTTCCAAAAAAGTGTTGGTACATAACGAAAGAATAAATATTACCAGGCTTGGATTGTTCCAGTTGAAATTTCTGTTACCTCAGCACCAAAAAAAAAAAATTATATATTCATGTTTAGTTTTGGTTTAAATGTTTTCCCTTCTTTCAAACAGGTAACGCCAATTGTCCATTCCAGGCCTATGTTGTCATTCATGGGACAAAATACGGCAAAGGACAAGCCAAGAGCAAAAAGGAAGCCAAGATGGAAGCAGGTCAGTGGTGAAAATGCTTCAGAGGAAGAACTTCTTGGGCTCATAATTTTTGTCTCAAAGCTCTTTGCAGCGTATCTTGGGAGATTAGTCTGGAAATGTTGTGGTCTTTAAGACCAGGCTCAATAAATAATCAATATGTGATTCAGATTTCATTTTAGGCAGGGTCTAACGTTCCAGGATCTCATCATCTTTGTTTTCTGTTGCACAAAAGATTTTAGAATGTGCCTAGAAGTTATTGAACTGTGAGAGGCTCAGGGTGGCCTTTTCAAGAGGCTGGAAGAACTCTGTTATGCACCAAATGGGGTACAGTACTATGACCATGTACCCCTGTCACACAGCGTACCTGTCATCACTGATTTCAAGCAACTTCCATGATGAGAACGGGCAAATGGCAATTCCACTTGATCTTCGGTGAAATGTTCATAAAGCTGTTGGAGTAGTGTTTTGTGTTTTCTCCAAGGGTCCTACAGCTAGCAGATTATTTGGTTATGTCAGAGTTGCCTGTGAAAATCGGCTCGTATAGGGTTCCGAAGTGAAGTAAAAGTAAAAGGCATAAGCTCAAGCTCGCAACCAGCGCGCGAACAAACACGCGTGTGTGTACTCCATTTGTTTTCACTACACTTCCCGGTTCAAAAAGACACCACACTTCGGTACTCGTTAGTAATATTTATACGTGTACAGAACCAATGGAGAACCGGTTTTGGGAACAGACAAAATCAATTCCCTTCCTTGGCCCGACCACACAATTTCACAGTATGTGTTTCCCACATTAGTTCTTACAGTAACTTTGGTTTTCTCTCGTAGCTCGGGCAACTTTAGAGATCCTGATTCCGGGTGTAGTGTTGAATGATGTCACCAAAAAGACAGGCAAAGACCAAGAATTAGACCAATTAGAGGTGAGCATACCTTCCCTTTAAACTCGAAAAAAGAGAAAGAAATGGAACAGTGGTGAGAAAACTGTAACGAGGAAGAGTGCTTGACAATTTTTCTAGGGGTGCTTTTCTACATGCTTCTACAAAGCCTGTCCTTTTTAATACACCCTTTAGTACACAAACTTTACATCCCACATCTTGTCCGTTTCTGTATGCAGTATTTCGACCATGTTTCCATCACTGACAGTCGAGTCTACGATCTTTGCACCAAGTCCGGCCAGCTCACACCCTTCCAGGTTCTGGGCGAATACAGGCAAAGGTGAGTGGCTGAGAGTTTTTCCAATATGCAGATCAGACCAGTTTCCGATGAACTCATATTCCTGCAGGTCGCACTGTACGGTTAGTGGTTGGAGCGCCGCTGTCGTGTTGATTCATTCTACCCATTTTCCTCCCAGATTTCCTCTGCACTTCCCATTCCAAGCTTAGTTACAGGTGTTCAGTTTATTTTTCACCATCAAAGTTCGTTAAGCACTGCATGCGCAGTGTTTTTCAGTTACTTGTAGAAAGTTTGCAAGCTTGTTTAATGGGACCCAAAAAGTCATGACCTCTTGCTTCCAAATGTTGATGTCTTAACCACACAACTGCTGAGCTTGTCAGGTTCAGCCTTCCATTTGAAATACAAATTTACCAAAAGCAAACATCCAAACTTATATTGTCCTCAAGCAAAAATTCTATCAAAAGTATGATTTTGCTTCTTTTTTTTTTAAAGGAATCATGGCATGGAAGCAATGAACTTCAATTATCAAGTCAACATTACCAACCACCACAAACGGGAGTACACAATGACGCTGGGAGAACATACAGTCACAGTAAGAAGTTCTCTTTCTACACAGAAATCTTCTTTTGTTTATGGCAACTTCACAGGAGAAAATTGTGTATTGAGATCCCATGGTTAACCAAAACTTACCACCAGAAAAGTATCTTATATATTCGTTTCAGTCTGATAATGGAAGCACACATTCATTCCTTTGGTGCAATAACTCCAAAACCCAAAGAAAGGCATATCATATGCAGAATACGTCAAATTTTTGAGGAGAGGGAAAAATTCTGGGCATTAAAATAGACAATACTAGAAATCCTCAGAACCTGGAAGGAACTTGAAAAACCAACCCTTTGGTCCCTAACATTATTTTTAAACCGAAGATCTATACCACTGCACCATTTTGTGTCCTTCCTTTTTGTTGTTGCTTTGTCAAAAGTTTAGATCTCTCGGCGTTGGACGTCATCTTTGTAGGAGAATGGGTATTCAACACTATCAGGTGCATGTTCACGTAGTGTGCAAATTCTCAATACACCTGCGCGTGTTGATCCAAATATCTTCGAAATACGGCACAGCCTTTGTGCATCACAAAAATTTGATGTCCAAATCGCAAATGCACATGGCAGTCTGTAGCAAGCAACGTCTTTTAAGAGAGACCTAGTTTTTGGAATCAAATGAGTATTTTCTCTTTCCTCGCAGGGATTCTGCAAGAACAAGAAGGTTGGTAAGCAGCAAGGAGCCCAACAGCTTCTTCAGGTGAGTCCAGAAAAGAGAATATAAGCTAAGAGCTTTTGTATTATAGTGTTCCTGGGGTCCTCATAAAGTGTGGTCCCTGTCTGTATGTGCCTCCGGCAGACAGGGCTTCTCAGACTGAGCTGTGAAGCTAATCTCTCTGTCTGCTGTGTCCGATGCGGGTTCTGAACCATCATCTGTTCTCCCTCCTGACTTCTGACACGGGGTTAGAATCTGATCCACTTTGAAGTTGAGGTGCAGAGCTTGGTGCTGCCTGGTCATCATGTGCCCTGCTCCTGATACACCCGATGTTGGCATTAGTAAATGAGGGTGCAAACTATCAAAGTGCCCTCCCGTAGCCTGTTCAACTGTTCATGAGCAAGCCAGTCAGTATTGTTGGCCAGTGTGGACAAATCTGTCTTCTATTTAGCAGAAGGTTCGGAAGGAAACATCACGGTGCTGATACACCTTAGAGAGTTTTTCTTGTTTTTTTTCTTATGATTCCTTTAGCTTCTCCATTCTCATGTGGATAATTGGGGTGGTATCATCAAGATCTATGGCAAAGGCACAGTTTCTAGAAACATGAAGAAAAAGGTAAAGTGAATGTTTAAATCATATGCCCAAACATTCGGTTTTATATTTCAGTATATTTTCTGGCCAATGTATTTTAAGCATTCCATTTCTGTTTTGCTTTGTTCATTTATCTGTGATGCAAAAATCTTCCAACTTTTTTCAAAATGGTTCTTAAATTGTTGCATTTTGAAATAATTCTTATCATGTGAGTTTGACACCTGACATACCTGATTCATTTACGACTATTTCTATGACAGTGACAGTGCCTATGACAGTGTGTCTTTTGTCTACTTCTTCTTTCATGTTTTCATCATTTTTCCTCGTTTTCCTCAGGAAGCTGAACAGAGCATCATCAGATTACAGGCCAAGTGTGAGAATGCCCCCAACGAAGCCATATTGAATAAGTTAAGGGAAGAGATGCTTTCATTCTACGACAGAAATAAAGAAGAGGTAAAGTACAATGCTGTGTGCCCTTTGATCGTCTTTGAACCGAACACCCCTTCTAAGCGGATGCTAAGGGAACCATTTTTTACATCAAACTGGTTGAGATAAGATGTGTATTTTTGACATGCATGATTGCAATTGTTGAATTAGCTGTTAATTTTAGCCTTAGATTCAGATATTATTTGCAAGTATTCACTTTTTTCATGTTGGCAGTTGGATGATTGATGGTGAATTTGGTATCCCCCAATTACAATCCCGCAATCTCCTAATCGAGGTTTCTGCTGATTAAGCTGTCCAATGAAGTATACTTTGGGGTTATACAGGTATATGGTAAATGGTATACTTCTGGCCATATTGTTGGGATAGCTCCACTCCCCCACTTGGGCCATTTCTTACTTTATTTCCATCCAAAGCCATGTCCTAGTTATTGGCATCAGCTTGGAGTACAACACAGCTTTCTGGAAAGCGGTTGCAGCCGCTAGTCAGCGGCTGCCGTATGTAAAAGTGTTGCCATCATCCATAGCCACAACGTTTGGACACTGTCTGAAGTTGGATTTTTTTTTTCAGTTTTTTCCTACTGCAGATGCTTGAAAAGTAACATGTTACAAAGTGCATCTTGTTGGGCAGGACGCACCTGTTTTAAACATGCACTTTCAGTCTTTCAACCTGAGGCACTTTTTAATTCTTACATTGACCTCTTTTACCTTACATGAGTTCATTTTTCTCGCCTCATGTTCCTTTTCCAGGCTGGCGATGCAGAAAGGGAAGCCAATCAGAACACAGGTGAGATGACTGCATTTCAAATGCCATCACTCCTGTCCGAGTAGAATCGTTCAAGACCCTCTTGCCAAAGGGATCACTGCATCTCAAACTGGGGAATGCCCCTCACCATTCATCGCACGGTGCATCATATGTCAGAAGACTTTGCCCAATCCCCCCTTTTGAATTCCGCTGTGTGACATGACTTTAAACTCTTAGATCCTAAGCATTGTTACACACCTGCCCTGGATATCCTGGTAAAGTAATAATATCAGAAGTAGTGAGAAAAACTTTGGACAGCAAATTGATGGGGGGGTCAAGCACCCCTTGGGCGAGCCAGTGCCTGTACCACCCTTCCTTCGTAGGACACGCTGTTTTGATGTTCGGTGTATGTTTTAGGGATGCGAGGTTGACTTTCACAGGGTGGTGTGTAGCTTTCCTCCAGTGTTTTTAAGGGGAAAAACCAATGTTGTTTTCAAATACTTGCAAGTGACTTTTCGGTTTATTGAATTTGCATCTACAACAGGAATGTGGCATTATTATGAAACTTCAGCAAAGTCATAGCTTGATTCCAAATCACTTCACAGGGTGGTAACTTTATAAACAATTTAAACAGTATCGTTTATCTCTAGTGGATTGTTTTAATCTATGCAGACCTTTTGTTGGTTTGTAAACCAACCAAGTTCACGCAATATTTATTTTCTGGATCACTGAACTGGGAAGTGTTGGCATAATGTTTGAAAATGAGAAAGTCATCCACTATAATTTCACTTTTCTGAGTTCAAAAGTTTTCTTTAAATGTTAAGTTAATCTTCCAGGGAAAACAAAATTGATGTTTAATTCACAATTTATTACAAATTGAACTGGAAGTTAAGTTTGCACTTTTAATATTCTACATTGATGATAATTTTGTACACGATAGCATATACTTAACGCACAATTACAACACCAGTACATTCGGAAAGATGGCAAGAAATCTTATGATCACAGCGATTAGGTGTCTGTCATATCCTCCTCTGAAGAAATACCAACGTCAGGAACATTGGAATCATTTGATATGTTGTACAGAGAAATCCCTGTGTAGTGAATCTACAAAAAGAGGTTTTTGACCTGACATAACATGACAGCCAAAGGCATTTCAGGAAGTGTACCATGTCCGTGGAGGCGTGTGCATTTTTTAATCTTCGTATTTCTGTTACTCGCTTCACGTATGCCAGACTGTTGAGAGACTTCACAGGTGCGCACATTTTCCCACAAATCTGTGTAAATTGAATGCTGACTGTCACAGATCCTGTGACTTAAAATCCTTTGTAGGGCTGTGTCGGTTATTTGACTATCCAATTACTTAATTTGACCCAGTCCAACTCCTTAGCATTGTTGATGCTGTGGTTATTTTGTGAATGCGTATATTTCTCCATAGGATATTTGTCCATTGTGAGCCAAAAGAGGCAGATGGGATGTCCTCAGTTCAGTTTGGTTACAATACAGGGAGGAGAGGATGATGTATAAAACTGTTGTGCTTTACGCCTTTAACTGCCTAACAACTTTGATGTCTTGCGTAAATTGCTTTTTGTTTTCAGTGCATTAAAGGGAGATTGAATACAAATACTTGTTGGTATCCTCCGTTCTTTTACCAAAATTTGCACGTGCTTCTGTACATTGTCACATCTGAGAAATGAGCAGGCTTTTCATAAACAGTTCAGCTGTTGCTGTCACAAATATGTAGTGAGTTACCTTTCTATTTATATTATCAAAATTGCTACCTTAGCAAAATTTACTCGGGAAAAAATTTCTGAAATATAAACCCCGAAAAATATCAACTGAATTGAAAACAAAATGGGGTTTTTGACTAGTAAGAAGCAGAGTCTTGAAAATGTCACTGCTTATCTCTATCTGATCAGGGTTGATTAATGTGGTCAGTGCTATCACAGTCATTGCTCTCCTGTAACAGTCCTTAATCCACCTGTTGGACACGTCAGAATTGTTCAGGTTTAAAGCTGTTGAGGTGAAAACCTTGCAGTTTGCTAAGTGATAACAAGATAAAAAAATGGTGCACCATGAAAATCTCGTGGATAACCTCACTTCACAGTTTCAACTGAATACCTGCTTCCTTTACCCGCTTCCTTCCCTTTGGATGGATCTGTGCACCTAACCGTCGCACCTAATCGTCTGTTTCCCCTCCCCCCTTCCAAACATTTTTAATTGATCAAGCAATGTGCAGCTTTGGCATAGTGGTCGAGCTTGGTTGAGAATCTGTGCCTGTTTTAGACAGAATTGGGGAGTGCGTTTTGGATTACCCTGGCCCTAGGTTAGTGTGTCCAGCTGATCGGCTAGATACACTGACGGAATCAGTCCCCGCTCTCCACTGGCCCTGGAGTAAGCCATCACCCACAGGGGTCGCTGTTTGAAATCTTCCGGCCTGAGGTACACGACGTCCCCCGGCTGCACAGACATCTCGGCATGGGACATGGCCTTGTGGCTATTCAGGACGCAAGCCCTGACTGTTAGCTGACTCGGGAAGTGGCTGTCGATGGATGGGGTTGGAAAAGGATGCTTGATGGTGGCAGCTGATTTCTTGGAGGCAGACATCTCACCTAATTATGTAAAACAAAGCAAACGGCTCTCTTTCAGATTTGTGATGCAGTACGCATGTGCATCTGAATAAAGATTTGAAATCAAAGGTTGGATTAGCAAAGGGTTTTACTCGATGAAGTTGATATCGTGGGTAGGCCCTCACCACCTCATGGGAAAATTTTCCTTTAGGCAAATTAGCACCGACAGCTGTGGGCCCTTTCTACCGTCCCCACAAGGTTTTGAGTCCCCACAAAATCAGTGTAACAATGAGTATATATCTCTCTACACCTACAGAACAATGTCTTCTTTTCAAATGAGTAAAACCCCATAAGATAACCAGAGTGGACAAAAGGACTCGTGTTACATCATTACATGAAAGTCTGTTACCGGGAAATCACAGAGTAAACTTGTGAATTCATCAGCCGAAAACAGTAGTTTTCAGTGGAAAATAACCCTGTGTAGAGCGTTCATCACGGTGTGATCCAGATGATATACATATAAACAGTAAGTGTGCAAACTTTCAAATTAACACCGAGGGGGATTCTCCAACCTTGAAATTTTCTGAAGAATATTACACACTCGGATATTTTCGTTTCGATAATGGAACAGACAAGAAGTTTGCATCAGGCACAGATTGTGGTCGGCACTAATGGCAGCAATGGGCTGGGCGTATACGGAGGGGGAAGGAAGACACACGACCTTCAGTTTGGACAATGGATGAGAGCGGAAAAATGCTGTACCTTTTGCTTTGGGCTGTTGTGCCCTCTTCATTTCTCTAGTCACGTCACTGTCATCCTTGTTCCCAACGAAGCGAACAACCCGTGACACCCCACCTTTCCTTCTCCTACCATCCTCCAAAGTCCTGTATTTCACCATCTCGGGTCCGGTGTCGGATTCATAGTCACTGGTGACCAGACCCGAGATGTGCTTATCCACCCCAAAGCAGCTTGCCAAGATCAGATTCTCCAGCTCCTTGGCAGATGCTCTGTACTGCCTAGCCTCCCGCCCCAGCCGCTGTTTTGCAGTGCCGGCTCGGGAGGCAGGCTGGTTCGGTTTGCCTTGCGTCTCCATCTCCTTGTCAGAGGACGAGGCTGAGGAGTCTGTTGTGCTGCCCTCATGGCAGCTGGTGCCGGAGTCAACAGAGTTGACCGAGATCAGAGAGAGGGAGGCCACAGATGCCTGTCGCACAAGATTATTTGCTGGCTCCAGTTTTTTCACCTCTCCATAACAACCTCCGTGGTCTGTTCCATTTTCACCTGATGTAGGTTTCTCCTTTGACACTCTGCAGCCGGCGTGATTTAACGATATGCTAAGGTTCGGGGTTTGTTGTTTCCAGTTGTCACTGTTTTCTGGCCGACTAATCCTAGTTATCTTTGCTGTGGTGCAGTTGTACACATAACCTGAAGAGTTACACTCGCTTTCAACGGTTGATTCGACACCGTCTTTGTGGCTTTTGGTACTTGACAAATCTGCCGATATTGACTCTGTGTTCTGTTTAGCGTTATCCTTGCCATCTTTTATTTCCATGACAGAGACAAATGGTGCATCAGCGATTTTATTGAGGATACTTGGATCAGGTGCCGTCAACTTCAGTGGGGTGTCTAACCTGGCTATCTTTGTTGCTGATATGCCGAATTTGTCCAGCTTTGGAAGAGAGGATCTCCGCTCGCTGTCTCTACCGTGCTGCCTTGTCCTTTGGTCCCTCTTTTCTTCAGATGAGAAAGTTGTGTGCACTTTGGGGGATGTTTTTTCGAGTGTTTGAGCTTTTACATGTGCACTTTTTTGCTCTTTCCTAGTGGTATTTTTCTTATCCGCGCAGCATTTGCGCACAACAGCATTACCATAGTGTCCGTTTGGGGCCTTATATTGTGGAGATATCAGCATTACAGTTTTTTCCTTCTGTCGCGAGTGGTAATTCCGGTCGACGTCGTCGGAAGCTGATCTTGGATCTTCGTTCCTGGTTAATGCCTGACATTGTAAAGCGGACGTTCCAGGATCAGAATAAGTGACAGTATCTGACGAAATCTGGTCATGACCACAGCCAGCTGCTGGTCCGGTCTTGATGACGCTATCATCTTGCCATGATGTCAACTGAGTAAGGATGACATTTTGGTTGTCATCACAGTGATACAGTTTCCCCCTTCCATGTTTGGTTTGGGACCCATCCCTCCTATCTTGGCATTCTCTTGACCTGGACCTCCTCTTATAGTTCTTAAGCAGCTGCTGATCATTGTCCAAAACAGACTCGTCAGTTCTGTCCCTTTCCCTTCCGCATAATCTCCTGGGCCGGGTTATTGAGTCATCCCATGGTTTTGATTTCCCAGTCCAAGAGTCCCAGTCATTTGATCTTTCCTTTCGGCGATCCACCCTCTCCAGTGACCTTGACCTCAGCTTCCTCCGATTGCTGCTCACGGCGTTCCTCAATTTATCCATGACTGATTCCTCTTTCGGCTTCTCATATTCCACACCTCCGAATTGCACCTGTTTCCCCGTTGATGATGTAGGCACCCTCCCTTGTCCGCTCTTCGTCTTACCTTTGGGTGACATCCAGCTTGGACCACCCCCATCGTGTGCATATCTTGACTCTTTCACAGACAGCTGCTTCGTGTTACAGACAACTGCTACTGTTTGTGAGCAGGGCATCAGTCCGTGTTTACCAATCGATGGTGTTTCACTTTGCTTCAAGTCCTGGCCCAGTGTGCTTCTGCCAATTAACGCAGTCTCCCTTGCTGTAATTCTGCACGGCAGACTCTCCCATGTGATCGTGACTTTCTCATCCGCATCTTCTTTCTTCCAGCGTGGTCCTTTGTTGCTCGCTGACAAAGCCTCGCACGATCGTGACAGTCTCCGGTATTTTTCACTCTCAGAGCGCCATCCTCTGCCTCCCCCACCTCCCACCTGCTGCCTGTTGTCGTCTTGACTCATCTCGGCGTGCTCGCTGAGGCAGACATCTACGTCGTGGGTGCTGTTGGTACCGTGGCCGACGGAGCGTGGGGTGTCCCGGGATCGTGAGCGGCGAAGCGCCCCCGCTGCCTGGCGCTCCAGACTGCGACGGCGCGTCTTACACACAGTACAATCGTGTTCGCTATCTGCACCAAAGAAAGACATTGAAAGAATAAGTTCGAATGCCATAGTTAGGCCCAAGGGTAACCCGATTGCTGCTGTTGCATACATATTGTCCACTTTATTGCTTGCGTGCTTGCCATAGCTGTCTAAGTTGTATAGTTTAATGAAAATAGCCATCCGGTCTGAGAGACAAGCATACTGCATAGTGTTTATAGCAAAACATCAACGATAAATTACGGCTGCTCTTTGTCAGTTTGATCTGTTCCAGATGAATGGCAGTGATCCAAGCTTTCAAGTTCGCTGTTCGCAAACCTTGAAACTGAAATTAGAAGCATTGGGCGTGTTGTTGTAACCAAGTCACATAATTTGTACAGTAGTAGGTTACTGTTGTATGGGACAAGTAGAGAAATAAGAAATGATGGTTGTACTTCTAGATTTACGACAGCCGTTGCGTTCTTTGTAAAACTGGAGAGAAGATCACCTCGCACGGAATGAACTTTCCCTCCAATAGACAATAATCTGCACAATAAATTATGTGGTTCAAAAATCAGTTGGGGGGACAAAGGAAAATATGGATATAAAGACACCAACGAGAGGCTTTGTTTGCGATTGCAGGTCTGCAACTTTTAACTGCTAATGAGAATTGTAGCTGGGGATATTCTCATTGCAGATTTTGTTTCATGTTTCAGTGCTGTGTAGGTAATTGCTCCTACTTCCGGTTTGTGGTTCGTTAAAGCAAAGTACCAAACACTAATTAGAGGGCCGCTCAAGGCTCTGACGATCATAAACAAAACATCTTTTGGATCGGGATATTGCTCTGTGTGCTTTGTAAGTGGATCTTGCAAACATTTCAACTTTGCTGCCATCGGCACTTCAAAAGGGAGCGTCTTTAATCAGTTTTTAATGAGCCTTCTTGATTGTGGCGATATTCAACCGTGGACCTGCTCTCTTTGAGTGATCCACCCCATCGATCGTGAGAAAGTCTGCCTTGCGTCACTAAAAAAAATTGACCGCTTTTCTCCCAGGAAAATTATTGCCTATACCGTTCGCAATCGAGCGCTTGTTCAAAGCAGTCCCGGACCATCGTCATTTCGAATAGAAGAGGTTACTTCAAAAGACAACAGTGTCCATTTAACCCTTGTCAATCGTGAATTCACGCATGAAGCGAGGCACAAAGATATGATTTAGCGCTCACGATGCAGACGTGGTTGGCTCGAGACAAACAACAATGTCGAGGAAAAACGCGCGCTTTTGAGAGTCACCGAAGCCAAAGTAACCAGCTTCCATTTGCCTCACAATTATCTTTCGTCCTGTCAGCACGACTGTAGAAGCTGTAGTGTTCAGCCATATCAGCGCTGAGGAACGTCTGTCTTGCGGCTGGTACGTTCTTGACATTGATTTTGGGCTCCAGATTTCAAAACAAAAGATTTGGGTGGCTCGTGCACTAGTTAATTATCAGTCTGTGCTGTGGTGGTGGTACACACGTGCTGCTCTGATTCGCGGGCGTAACCGCCCATTAACAACACACATCTTTACAGAAGAACGTACCGCGCAGATTTTTGAATGGACCAAATGAAACGGACAGTAACAGCCATGGCTCGATTAAACTCATTCTTTGTGAGGAAAAACGGTCAGGTTGACAATGCTATTCACTACTGACCGACTATTAGATTACTGGCCTGGCCTACGTCCAATTGAGGCATGGCCGCCAATAACAATCCATATACATGTAGGCTACATCAACCATTATTTTTTTTCCAAGTGGTTACCACTTTGGCCATTGCTTAATGTAATAGTTTTCTGAATTTAGGTCGCCATACCAAGGTCGGGTAACCTGACTTTTTCCATTGTCTGTGATGGTCGTGGCTCAAATTGAATTCAATGACTGTCCTGGAACTTAATTCCTACCCAAGTAGATGAACAGCAGAAGGGGGGGGGTTCATTTTCAATTTTCCCCCGCTAGCAAGTACAACCCAACCGAGCAATACGTTGTTTGTGTTCCGGGGAAGTAAAAAGCAATCTCACAGCGCCGCGTTTGTGGAAAAAAAAACAAGAGAAATTTCTGCAGCATGGCGTCACAAATTTGCTTTAAAGGTAGATTTTAACTTGCAGTGATAGACACATATTTTCTTTTGCTTTCCGTTTGCTTGACACTGTAGGCATATTAACCCACTCGTCAAGCACATAATGACAGAATCAAACCTCATCGCAATACGGCTAGGAACAGGTGCAAAGAAGTAATCAAGGCAAGACCCATCTCGGCCAAAGACCCATCTTTATCCAGGACCTTTTACGCCTTCCAATCAAGGCTTGGATGTTTAAGGCCTGCAGGTTTGCTGATCCATCATCAAAGGAAGCGGGCAAACTGTATGCCCCATTGCAGGTTTGGAGTCCAATTCACCCGCAGAAATAGCGTCTCACTTTTCCCTGCATTTAGATTGGACTCCGTAATTAGCGTCAGGCGCGCGTTTTGATGGACACGGCACAGCTGTGTTATACCATGGAGGAAGCTCCCCCACGGTTATACAAAGTCCGAATACCTGATAGACAGTTTTTTACATGGAAAACTTGTTTAATTGAACACGCGACCAAGAAAAACAGGAATAGTCAAAATAAGACTAACTTGACTAACTTGAATGTTTTCTGTGATAGGGATGAGGGTGGATTCCCTAAGTATTCTATTTTGAAAACTTGTTTTTGGTAGGAAAAATTTGGAAAATGTGAATTTACAGGAATAAAGAAAGAAGGAACTGTATATGCCAATGTAACTATAAAGTGGTGCCTAAAGGTTACATAAAATTAACAATGCACATAAGTCGTACTGCTTCCGCCTTACGGCCGTTTTTTCCTAAATAGTTGTGAATTTTGTAGTAAGGCCTGCCAGGGTATAAAACTGAAGTTTATTAACAATGTGACATCCATTGAAAAAAAAGAAGCTTTTAATTCAAGTGTAGAGTCAGAGTGCCTTATAAGAAACTTATTGCTTTAAAAAATGAATTGTTCTTGCAAAGTGTCATTCATAAACCGAAAGTTTATATTCCAAAAATGGCCACATCTCCAAAAACTAACCACACAGACACATGCTTGAAGGCTGCAACAATGTGCATCCACCACTTGCATCATTTCATGGAACCTGTCAGCCTGCCCTTTTTGTATATTGATTTAATTTTCACTTCATTTATTTTTCGGCGGTTTTCGGGACGTGTGAAGTGATCCCATCACTATAGCCAGCCCGGGGCTGGGTCTGGAGCATCGCAGAACACGTAGCTCGTTGGCAGAAATGGATGACGACCTTAAAAGTCGAACTGTGGCCTTGACAAGCGTGTCTTGTTGAAGACTTACTCCTTGTTGTCAGAAAACGTTTATTATGGGTGTGACGACTCTTTTTCACAGTCACCTCCACATAAAAAATAGGGTAGTAGGCCTAAGGCAAGTTCCGTCGATAATACGATAGACAGCGAGTATGAACTAGATATACGTGCCAATCAAATTTTGAAGCCGGGTTTTAAAGATATATGGGGAAAAATGGAGTCAATTTTCGGAATGGATTATAATATGGTTAAATAATTATGAGCCCCATCTTTAGTTCGAGCTCGTGAGACGGACTCCCAAGAAATTTTCTCCCAAGACCGCAGGATTAAATTCCCCTTCATCCCCTAGAAATCGTGTTCTTCCAAACTGAGACGTTAAACCAAATTGAATCACGCTTCGTTCTCTGAGGTCTGCGGTCTACAGAGAGAAATCCCTCAGCAAATAACCTTGAAATTACAAGCTGAAAATAGTCCATCCATAATAGAAAGCCGTCTCTCATGCCCAGCTGCGTGAACAATGCGAGAGCGATGCTATAGGCCTACCAACAGACTGTCTCCGTCGGTTCCTCCCCTTATCTAAACATCTCCATCTCCTCGTGGCACTCTTTCCCAATTATCCTCCGCATCCTGCATCTGTCCGAATCAAGGATGCACTTACAAGTATCCTTGCCCCTGTCCGTGTTTGGAGGACAGCATTTGATGGGTTAGCTGCGTCCTGCGTCTTCGTAACTCTCGCGGGGAGTGGTGCTCCGCTGGCCAGTGTACCGTACAGGTAAAGGCGCAGCTGGGGTAATTATAACTATGCCGGTCTTTGTCACAAGCCAAACTACATGAAATTACCTGGGTAGGACTGGCAGCGTTTGCTTTTAAAACAAACACTTCATACATTGAACAATACGGTGGACGACGCACGGTCAGGAATGCAGCTAGGGCGAGCGGAAACAGATGACTTGTTAAGGACGTTCGACTTTGTGGGAACACATTATGAATAACAGCGTGATGCTCAGAATTTTAATATTTGACTCGATTATTAATTGACGTGTAGAAAAACAAAGAGTTTACACGTTACAAGTCAGAGACTTGAAACCCGTGACTACCGGTTTTGTTAATCGAATTAACATGGTTACACTTTAAATTTGAATTTCAATTTTAACGCCCTAAATGCTAAAGTTGCTGATTAGACACCCACGAGGGATATAGGGAAGACCGAAATTTGAATCTAGGCAGAGTACTCTGTGGAATAGCCCCCATTTGTTGGTGCAGTTCGGAGCTCAGTTATCAAATTTATAGCTCGTAGTGCAGCAATATGGTGAGTTACATTGCGTGCGTAATGCTCTTCTTCATCTCTATTATTAACCCTAACAGTCCCAAATCCTCCAATTTCAATACGATTTTACATACACCCTAGGGGTTTAGGGTTAAGCCACATTGTATACACAAGAAGATCCAAGCATAGAGTAAGGACGGACTTTATACGAAGGCGTTCCTTTGGGTGTTCAACTTCAACCTGATGGGGTCTGTGCATGATTATCAACCCCCCCCCAAGCTGTCAAAGAGTAGGCCTCACAACACAGACTTGTTATCGTGTTAAGAAAGCCTGATAGATCATCGGCCGACACGGCTTGAAAGTCCACGAATTGATGGATGAACCTTGTTTCTCCCCAATGCCAAGCTCAGGAAAAACTAATCTAATTTGTGGAATCCACTTGTCC